ATAACGTCACTTTAAAGGCTGTATTTCTAAGAGCTATGCGTTTTAAGCTCGACATAAGTTTTGCTTATTGCCACTTAACATTGCACTTTGATGGTGCGCAAACACATCATTACATCATTAGCACTGAACAATGATTGAATATCGTAATAATGGGTAGATAATTTCTCAAATATGCTATGAGTGATATTTAGTTAAGCTTCGCTGAACTTCGTATAAACGTTCAACATTCCAGGATACAGCAAGGATGGCGGCCTGTACTTCCCGGAGACGGTACCAAAGCTGTCTCAGGAGCAGCTGGAGTCGTGGTCGAAGCTCAGCTACCCAGACCTCCTGTCCGAGATCCTGTGTCTGTATATAGACCCGTCTGAGCTCAGCAGAGAACAAATCATCGGTGAGCGACAGGTATTCGGGAGATTCATTTATGACATATATTTATTGGTTTAAAACTTCATCTTTTTGTGTTCAGCTTCCGCCTAGTTCGATTGACTCGCCTGTGTCATTAAAATGTATCCTCAATCGTATTTATTGATGGAGAGATTGGAGCTATTTTATATGTGATGACGATGGCCAGACATGTCCAACATAACTGACTTTTCTGTACCTTTCCGGGCAGATCTGGCGACCGGCTCCTTCTCTCGTTTCGAACTGCCCGAGGTGATGAGGGTAGCCGAGCTGAAGAATGACCTACGAGTGTCCGAGCTCTTCCACGGACCCACGCTGGCCTTCAAGGATCTGGGACTCGGCGTGGTGGCTCGTCTGCTGGAGGTACGAACAGAAGCTTCGATTGCTTTCTAATTCTTATTCTGTTATCGAAAAAAAAAACGATTTCATATTATTTGAGCGTGCAAATCACACCTTTAGCATTGGTGATTTGTCTGTTACTTCATTCTTACGCATGGAGGCTGCTCAGTCCTTGCAGTCTGGTTCCATGTCATGAATGACCGTGTAAAGACAACGCTGCGGGCATTGCCTGTTTCTTTCTACAACCCTGCCCTACCCCTTTCCCGCTGGCAGACGTTCCTGTCCGCCTCCGGTGAGCGGTGTCTGATCGTGGTGGCCACCTCTGGCGACACGGGCAGCGCGGCCATCCAGGCGGTGCGCGGCCTGGACAACATCGACATCGTGGTGCTGCTGCCGCACGGCCGGTGCACAGAGATCCAGGAGCTGCAGATGACCACCTGCATCGACGACAACGTGCACGTCTTCGCCGGTAAGGCATGACGGAAAGAGGTTTTGTCGCCGGTAAGGCACGACGGAAAGAGGTTTTGATTGTGGCGTCGCGATGGTGCATGTTCTAGGCCTTACAAAAATAAGACGGTCCGGGATCATGTATCGTCGTTTCTATTGCAGCGGACGGGAACAGCGATGAAATAGATGTGGAAGTGAAAAGCATATTCGCCGATACCGAGTTTGTCAAGAGGCATCGTGTGATATCATCCAATTCCATCAACTGGGCTCGAGTACTATCACAGGTAATTATGCTTCCCTTCCCTTTTGCTCTCAAAGCTCGAGGAAAACGTACAAAGCGTACAAGGAAAACGTTAAAAAGTGTTACGTTGCATTGAATTGCATTTTCAAATGTTGATTGAAATGTTGAAATGATATTTTTCTCATCGTAGCTTACTTGTTTCAGTATAACTCGTTACTTCCATTAACGTCACTGGTATCCTCTCCGCAAATTTGTTCGTATGTTTTTATTTCGACAGATGACGCACTTTTTCTACGGCTACTTCCGAGCGTGCGCGAAAGTGGGTGACGTAGTCGAGATGGTTCTACCTACTGGAGCCGCAGGAAACATTACTGGTCAGTTGGGGTCTCATCAATCACTGACGTGCCAAATGCCTTCAGATTAAATATTGAGTTCTTTTTAGTATTCAAACTGTTGCGGATGTTAAACGAGGTTTGCAATTTGCAGCTCTGAAAAAGAATCATCAAAATTTGGTGTGCTCTATGACCTAAGACATGCTCCTTTCATGATACACGACGGACCCGCATATTATCCGCCCCGTAATCTGTGACAGCCTCACTGTGCCTGTGCTTTCGTCCCAAGCCGGCTGCGTGGCCGCCCGGATGGGTCTGCCCGTTCGGCTGGTGGCGGCCGTCAACACAAACGACATCGTCTACCGCAGCCTCAGCAGCGGCGACTTCTCCAAGGCGGACGAGGTGGTGGTGTCGCTCGCACCGGCCATGGACATCCAGGTGACGAGAATTAAATCAGCAAAAGGATGAAAAGACATCAGCGGCGACGAAATGTCACATTACATATGACATGTATAGTGCACTCGGATTCAGTAATGATAATCAGGAATAGGAATATTAAATGACATTGTGTTATTGATGTTGGAACTTTTCGTACTTATTTGTGTCTCTAAAAGATATATTTTCTACATATTTATACCTTTAATTCTAAGAATAAACATCCGTATACAACGTTCTCGCTCACAGGTGCCTTACAACATGGAGAGGCTGATGCTGCTGTTCAGCGGCCACAACACGGAGCTGGTGAAGGCGATGATGACGGAATTCGAGGCCAACGGTCGGGTCCAAATTGACGCTCAAGTTCTGAAGGAGATGCAGAAAGTTATTGTTGGTGAGGAAAAAGGGATAGTCGAGGGTCGATTTAGTTTTTTATTCAGTCATTTCAAGGACATGTGTGATCTGTTTGTCTCATGTCTGCGAGGCCTTTTTGAGTCGTCTGAATTCCGAAAATTTCAGCAGGTAAGTTATTGGCTTCTTGAGCATTTTGCTTTGTAGTTTATGAAAAAAAATGCCCAATTCTAGTTTGACAGCTTCATGTGACTTCTAAAGAACCAATTGCATGACTCTGTGGATGAAGTCTGCCTGATTTCGCGATGTGGTTCACTGTGCCTCTCCCTGCAGACGCTCAGGTGGTGCCGGACGACGCCATCAGTTCCACGCTGACCCGTTGCTGGGAGGAGAACCAGTACACGCTGTGTCCGCACACGGCCACGGCCGCCCACTACCACTACTGCCACGTCAGGTACAGCGTGAGGACTGCCCGTTACGATCGTTTTTTGTTTTGTTTTACTAAAAAAAAGACAATCATCGCATTTCTCACGATGTTAATTTTTTATGCACTTTTTCGACGGTTTCACCTCTGAATGACTGTGAGTACAGAGACATGAATGTCCTTGTAAATGTATATTTAGTAACCTGTGTCCGATGGAACCATCCCTGACTTCAAATTGTCATATAAGTTGTATAACCATGAAACTTCTCCCTAATTGAACTTTTTGAACTTTTTTTGAACTTTTTGAACTAATTGAACTTTTATTACGTCCTGCTCTACGTCGAGCTCCAGAACCGTTTACACCCGCTCCCCTCCCGTTTTGCCCACTCCGCAGGCCGGATGGACCGCGGCGTCTGTGTGTGGCCACGGCCGGTCCGGACAAGTTCCCCGGGGCGCTGCAGGGCGCCGGGGTGCCGTTCCAGCCTTGCGAGAGGATCCGCCAGCTGCACTCGATGCCCACGCGGTCGGAGCCGATGGAGCGCGGACAGGACTGGAAGGCCATGCTCCGACAGAAGATCGAGGCAGTGTCAGCCGTCAGGGAGGCCGGCGGTCGGTAGGGGGTGCTGGCGGGCCGCCGAGAGAGGACGATAGGAGGGATGATCCGGACGGTGCATCGTGCTAAAATGTTCGGGTCATCAGACCCTATCTGCCTGATCCTGGCCATTGGTGCTACCGAAGTGTTAAATAATATTTTTATTGAAGCTTGTAGAATACAATGAGACTGGAGTGGAAACTGAAAGGTACTGACTGCGAAGTGCGAGTCTGCAAGCGGTTGATAGCGATTAGCGAGTGGGCAGAAGGAGAGAAGAATCGACTAAATAGAATCGATACCGCTTTTGGGTCTCTCTTGCACTTTGCTAAATGAGCCTCACAGCTAACGAGAATATTCAGCCACAGAGTGCCAAACTATTGAGTTATTAGTTACACCACATGGCTGTGGTGGGAGTGAGGATGTTGTCAGCTACGTCAACGAAGCAGAGGGGAGGGGCAAAGAATGTGACATTTCTTACGACATAGTGGGCGCTCAATTGATAAAACGTCGGGCAGACGCAGACTTTTGTCCGGCTGCTGACCATGCTCATGGAGGTTCGACAAACATGCTAGTTGAAAAGGCAGCCCCAAAAGACATGCTCGCACGGCCCTCTAGCCGTCTTTCACGCCCATCAGCACCGGCGCGCCTTCTGCGCTTGTCAAATAATTTTATGATCGGCGGACCTGGAGGTAGCAGAGAAGTGTCAACACTCATCAATAGCTGCCCGTCCGCCTGTGTTACTTGAGTGCCTGTGGGGGGCTTGTTTTGTTAAGAGCATTCCTTTGGGGCCACGGCACCGCACAATTCCTCATGCTCCGCTCGGGAGGGCTTATGTGAACAGGCCCGTCCGACCCGGTTTCCTGGCAACGGGCTGATAAATGACAATTGAGAACACAGACTTCTATTAATTTTCTAAGGATGTTTATTAGGTATTGAGGTAATTTCGCGCGTATGTTGTTTATGACTGCATTGCTACACGAAGTCAAGTTTTATTCGAAACTTTCCAACAACAAAAAGATTATGGTCACGAAGTTAAATGTTGAATCTTTATATTTAGCACGATTATCAGCAAAAATAAAAATGTAAGAAGAAACTTTGTGTCAATAAAATATGGAGGTGCGACCGTGTGAGAACAGCCGTAGGTGGGCATAACGGCTGTCATTTTAGGCACGTGTGGTCTGATCCACAACGCAGCATTAAATTTCCAAAGTTTGTGACGTTGCTTAGTGTTTTCTATTCAGAAATATAAGTTCGCATGGCACACGCTTCTCCTGATAGACGTAAATAAATTCGTTAACCATACCATAGATAACATGAATCGAGACGATAGATAAGATTCATGTTATCTATGACCATACATATAACGGATTAGGAGCTTGCCATCGCTTCACGGCTCATGCTCTTCAATGGACGGATTAAGCGAACGTTGCAAGCTCCTCAAGCCAAGCTCTTCATAATTGTTTTCTTGGCGCCGCCGTTTCCAAAGGCTTTCTCACCGTTTAAGCTGATGGAATGGTATGGGTGCAAGCTCTTCTCTGTTCCTACGTCGTTCGACCGGGAACCGTCCAGCTGCGTTTCATCCTTCAGACGGCGAGTCAGGTACCGGTCGCACTGGGCTGACACCCGCTCCCGCAGTCTGACGAGCTGTTGACGGCGCCAGTTTCCCGTTCTGCCGTACAGCTGCTCCAGCGCCAACAGCATCACGCTGGCCACCACTGCCAGCGGCACGATCAGCAGCATGGCCAGCAGGTTGGTCAGCGACAGCGGCCGGTAGTTGGCCGTAGGCGCGTCGCAGTCTCGCTGCAGCTGAGTCATCCACCTGTTGCGAATCCGGTCCACCAGGCCGGTCTCAGCCAGCTCCAGCATGGCCCTGTTAAGTTTGTCACGCAGCGCCGGGCGGCCCTTGGCGATCGGCATGTAGGCGCGGATCGGTGGGTTTGGCGGTGTGTCCAGCAGACGGATCAGCTTGCAGCTCTCCTGACCGATCGCGTACCGCAGCCTCCTGAAGTCGGCGTGGAAGAGAACTCTGTCGATGTTGAAGCCAGACTTGTTATCGTGAGTCGGGTAGAGTTCGATGTACCTGTCTCCATTCTCGACGCGTTGAAACATCTCCCGTTCGTGTGGCTTGTCGCTCACCTTCCAACCGTCGAGGATGCTCACTCCCGGCTCCATGGCGATTATCCAGTCTCTCTCGGCGGCGAACTCGTGCAGGCTGTGGAGGGGCCGGCTCGGGGTCGGCACGGTCAGGTGGCACATCAGCTTGGCCGTGTAGCTGGCGTACAGCAACATGCCCAGGATCCAGCTGGAGAGGGTGACGGTGCGTGCCGCCAGCGAGTCGGGCATGGTGTCCCAGCCCTGGCCGACCACCGAGCGCAGCGTGTTCAGCAGACACGAGCCCCACGACATCTGACCGGCGACGAGCTCGCTCTCGGAGAGGCCACGACCGACCCGCACCGTGACGTGCAGCAGCACAGAGATAACCAGCAGAGAACCGAGCAGCATCCACCAGACGTCCTCGTGCAGCGGCCGCAGCAGCGACGCGAACGTCTTGGCGCGCAGCTCGGGTGCCGTCACCGGCCCGCTGCGCACATAGAAGTCGTCCTGGTACCAGCTCACGGGGATCACGTCCAGAAAGTCGATCACCGCCGTCCGGTTGGAGGTCATGCCGAGCCAGCTGAGGGCCAGGTCGGCTCGACCGTACGTCAGCTCGCCGGTCACACCGGTCCACGTGCGGTTGCCGGAGAGACGTCCGTAGCCGCCGCCTGTCAGCGGGATGATCCTGTAGCGTAAGTCCACCATGCAGGCCAGCATCTGCCACAGCTGGTAAAGGTAGCCGTCGTAGGTGTGGCTGCCGTTTTCGTGATGTGTGATGAAAAAGTACGGCGGATCGTGGAACGCTGAGATACGCAGTTCTTCATCTTTCGGAACCGCACTGTTCGGTTCAACGCTGGCCCAGCTTGGCCCCATGGAGACCAGGCCAGCGCAGCGCGCCATGGCTCACGCGACGAGCCCCCACCGGCGTCTCCTCGGGGTCTGGCAGGAGACTTTGTGCGCTTATTGCGGGCTTAGCAAGACGTCGGTGGCAATCGATGTGGCTGTTCTACCTGACCGCATGGCGGTTCTTCGTAATAACGCTAGTGCCGCTCCTATTGTCCTTTGAGTGTTATGTTGCCGGGCATACCGAGCTGGGCCACACAAGCTCCTGATCGTAATTAATTCAGTGACGTCAAGATGTTTGCTGTATAAACAGGGGTGTGCTGGTAGTTTGACGAGCTTGGGAGAATGATGAGCCTGCAGCTGTTCTTACGTACCTACTTAGATAGATACGGACTCATTTGTTCAGGCTGATGGCATAGCCAGTGGATTGTTGAGGAAAGGAGAGTGCATTGAACGCCCTCAATTTTTATTTAAACGCTCAATATCTTGAATCGATGAAGCGCACCGCTTGTGGCTGGATACCTGCACCTAATTGCCAGTGAACCGCGAATCATCATCATCGTCATCATATATATATATATATATATATATATATATATATATATATATATATATATATATATATATATATATATATATATATATATATATATATATATATATATATATATATATATATATATATATATATATATCCTATATAGGTAGGTACACTGAGGTAGGTACATCGACTGCACAGGGAGAGCAGGCTGCTAAGGACCCATGTTACCCCTGTCTAACCAAAAGAAGGCTATCGGAGGTTGGATCTGGGAAGGCCACCGGCCACGGGCAAAATAATTCAAATCCAAACGATCCACAATCTTACCAGAAGGCAAGAATGCAAACCTAGCTATATAACTATTAACCCTCGCCGGACCTATTGGTTTTCTACATACGCGCCGGCCAAGGGGGGGGGGGGCGGCGGGTACGACCCCCCTCGCCGTTTCGCACCTGGTGGAGCAAGCGCGTTGCGGAAAAAAGGAGCGTGTGCGCCGTTACGAGATGCAGAGATTGATGCCCGATTTTAACCCTCGCCGGCACAGGCCATTTCGCGTCCTTCGACGGCACAGGGGGGGGGGGGATGGTACGACCCCCCTCTCGCGTTTGGCCCCTGATCGAGCTAGAGCTTCGTGGAAAAAACGAGCGTGTTGCCCGTCACGAGAGGAAGCCGATGATATCCAATTTTAAGGTCCTAGGTCATCGGGTGACCTTCCAGGTCGGGGTCAATGACCCAAAAATCTGAAAAATCGGGACCTGTTAGAAAGTCGTAAAGTGTGGCTGCTATCTAAGGGGTTTTCCGGGGTGCTGATCACGAATATCGTGTTAGTTTTGATCAGAGATGATATCTTTAAGCATTTAGACCAGGTCGGGTCAGGTCAGGTCAGGTCAACCGGTAGGGGTCGTGACGGGTATTCGTAATACGTGTCAACCGCCTCTGACAGCTTCGTAAAATGTTACGAAGGCACCAAAACTACTTCGTAAATGTTCAAATGGTTGCTAAATTCGAAATCAGCTCCAAAAACTAGCCTAGAAACATGTAAAACTCGAAAAAGTGAACCGAGGTTACCAAAGGTCAATGGCCTGACCTGACCTTCAGGTGACCTTTTTTTATAAATTTAGTCCGAACCTTTTGATAGGAAGGATTCACAAGGACAGAGCCACCGCTAAGCGAAGCTTGTTGCGGTGACCCTGCCCTCTACCCTCCGATCGCGCAATGCCAGTGCTATGGCAGAATTGAGTCTAAAGCTTAACGTGCGCACATAGCCGCGCACGGCCGGTCCCCTCACTGACTTCGCCTGGCTACGGCCTGCCACCAACCGCAACCATACCTGTCAGGAGGCCCGCAAATGTCGAGCGCCCGTCGCGCTTCGAACCCGGACTGTTATAACCGGGAACGCGTGCTCTCACCACGCGGAGTCCAACGCTCTACCAACTGAGCTACGGGACCGGCAAACCTTGACAAGACCTTGACATCCACCCTAATGTATGGGAGCAACATCAAATCACATGTTTGAACGTTTGAAACCACGAAAAGCTTGCAAACGCGCGGCTAATGCGAGCCGACATACGCCGAATCGCGATTCCGGCCAAACATAGTCTCGGAAAGTAGGTGTAAAATTGATCAATGTGAGGGTACTGAATGTTTCGTTGCGATCAGCCGCTTTTTACGCGAGTTATTTGCAAAAAAACCTCAGCCTCCCCCCTGTGTCTGCGAGGGTCCTAGGTCAACCGGTGACCTCTGAGGTCAGGTCAATTGCTCCAGGGTACGGTTCAGTTTTTGGTGAATTACTTCGCAAAAAACGGCCGCAGAGCCGCGATTTTGGCAGCATCGTGTTCGCCTCGCTCAGGCGCGTCGAATGATAGGTATACCTACTTTTTGTTTGGGTCAGGTCAACTTAGGGTGTTGACCTCAGGTCACGGTCAGGTCAGCGCCCCAGGTCACGAAGCTGGTCGAAAGAGGTCTTGTTGCATATCATTCGATTCGGCAGGTCTTCCTGAGTCCATTGGTGGCTTTCCCGACTCGCTAGTTCAATTTGATCGGAGGTTATTGACGAAAAACTAATATGAACTTGATGACGTCATAAATGACGTCACACAAGGTCAACATTGCAAAAGTGACGCATCTTACCTTGCAAGGAGTGCATCAAATCACGATTCTGTGTGCGTGAGATAGTTGGAGATCGTTCCCGGCGCCAGAATAGCAGTTTTCATGTTTCCCTATTACATATAATGGTGAGGTCACGAAAATGACCTGACCTCATATGACCTTTAGGAAAAATCCGAGATATGCCTACAAGTTGTGAGACTTGAGTAGATTCCGCAAGTTTCATTTCCCTGTGAAAGCTCCTCTGGCAGTGAGGGCGTTGCGAAGTTGCGACCTGAAGACCGTGCAGAGGTTCACTTATGACGTCATAGGTCAGTGACCTGACCTGACCCGAAAATGCGGTTGGTGTCAAAAGATCCGGCTTGTATCAAAGGTCAGATACGTCAAGTTTCAGCTCTCTATCGCCGGCGTGCTCGGAACTATCGCGAGAAAACGCTATACGAGGGGGGACGGCACCCCCTCGACCGGCGAGGGTTAAAATCTTCCTGGACGATAGCGATCTGGTAAGTTCATTTGCCGGAAGATTCATTCTTTTTTTCTAGAAACAACACCTACACAAACACTAATCTTCGCATAGGCGTAGGAACAGGGGGGCCGGGGGGGCCATGGCCCCCCCCACTTTCGGAGGTGGGGAGGCCAGCAATGTTAACTGGCTGACTTAAGTGTCTTACTGACTTTTTGCTGACTTAAGTGTCTGTCTGTACCTAACCTACCACCCGGTAACTTGACAACTATTCAGCTTGCCCTTTAATGAGGATTCCTTTTTGTTTCTACAGCGTTATTGACCGCAATTTCCTTCACTCAATGAAGGAAACCATATCAGAGACAAGACTGTGAGTCCTGGTGACAGCATTTTGTTGAATACGAGGCGCGGGACAGCGAGCACTAAAAAGGTATAGGCAATACTAAGACAATACTAGCACGGTGCAGGAGAATGCGTATACAAACGACCAACGCTTGACCTTATCTGCTTGGGGTCGGCATAGTTCGTCAAAGGCGTACTAGCTGGGGGCCAGGGTGACCGTGCCTCAGCCTCGGTTCAAACAGGCTGGGGGCCAGCAATGTCTGTTTCTGCCCCTCCCCCTTCCACTTTCAGTGCAGTGGCGGTCGCAGAGGGGGATCAGGGCCATGCCCTTCCCCCTCCAAAGGCTAATCAGGGGGCCATCATATCATTTGGCCCCCCCAAACAACCAATGGGCCCCCATGGGCGTATGGGGCTCTGGCCCTTATTCGATTGTCAAGAGGCTCGAGAATCCCACGCTAGCTATTAACAGCTCCCAAACCAGTCTTTGAGGGTCCTACACTGATCTCGGAGGGCCCTTCAGTGGCGGTCAAGCGCCCACATTGACCGCTGAGAACCCACATTGACCTCATTTGAGGGCCCCTAAACCGGCCTCAAGGGCCCAGCCGGCGTCTGAGGGCCTCACACCGGCCTCTGGTGGCCTCATTTCTGTCTCTGGGGTCCCAAGACTAGCCTTTAGGTGCCTTTGAGGGTCCCGCACTGAATTCTGAAGACCCGATGCCGGCCTCTAAGGGTCCGCATCGGCCTCTGAGGGTCCACCTTGGCCTAGGGGTCCAACGCCGGCCCATGCCGGTCTTTTAGGGCCCCACACTGACCTCTAAGGGCCCATGCTGACCTGTAAGGACCCACATTAGCCTCTGATGGCCCAAGTCGGCATCTTAAGGTCTCATCTTGCCCTTTGCAGGCCCTGTACTGGTCTCTGAGGGCCTTAACCCTCGCCGGCCGGGGGGGGGGGCGGGTGCCGCCCCTCCATAGTTTTTTTTTTTCGCGATAGCTCCGAACACGCCGGCGATAGAGAGCTGAAGCTTGGCATACCTGACCTTTGAATCAAACGGGATCTTTTGACACCAACCGCATTTTCGGGTCAGATCAGGTCACTGACCCATGTGGTCCATAAGTGAACCTCTGCACGGTCTTCAGATGTCGCAACTTCGCAACGCCCTCACTGCCAGAGGAGATTTCACAGGGAAATGAACCTTGGAGGACCTAGTATCCAATAGGAGTCTCTCAACTTGTATAATGTAACTATATCTCGGATTTTTCCTAAAGTTCATATGAGGTCAGGTCATTTTCGTGACCTCACCATTAGGTATAAGTCAATGGGGATAAACTGAAAACTTTTCCTGGCGCCGGGAACGATCGATCTCCAACTATCTCAAGCACACCGAATCGTGATTTCATGCACTCTTTGCAAGGTTCGATGCGTCACTTTTGCAATGTTGACCTTGCGCGACGTCATTTATGAAGTTATAAGGGTCTTATTAGTTTTTCGTCAATAACTAGGTACCGATCAAATTGAGCTAGCGAGTCGGGAAAGCCACCTATGGACTCAGGAAGACCTGCCGAATCGAATGATATGCGACATGACCTCCTTCGACCAATTTCGTGACCTGGGGACGCCGACCTGACCGTGACCCGAGGTCAACACCCTAAGTTTACCTCACCCAAACAAAAAGTATATCATTCGACGCGCCTGAGAGAGGCGAACACGATGCTGGCAAAATCGCGGCTCTGCGGCCATTTTTTGCGAAGTTATTCACCAAAAACGGAACCGTGCCTTGAGGCACTTGACCTGACCTCAGAGGTCACCGGTTTTTGTTTGTTTTGTTGGGTTAGGCCCTTTCGGTCCAATGAGACCATTTCAGAGCCGGAAGGATGATAGGATATAGGGGGAGACATTGGTCTGGGCAGGCACCCTAGTGAGTCGCCGGGGCTGAGCCCGTCCAGAGGACAGGCCACCCAGCCCCAAGGCACTCACTGCACCCGGCTACAGGGTGCGCTCCCTCGGGAGCAGCGGTGCCGCTCCAAGGGAGCAGCCCGCATGAGATAAAGTTGCCTGTCCAGCCCGGAGGGGGTTGCGGTGTGGAGGAGAAGGATTTCAGTATCCTGAGGATAGAAGCACGGAACGGTGTCAGAGGTCACCGGTTGACCTAGGACCATAAAATCGGGTATCGATCTCTGCGTCTCGTAACGGCGCACACGCTCGTTTTACCGCGACGCGCTAGCTCCACCTGGGGCGAAACGGCGAGGGGGGTCGTACCCGCCCCCCGCCCCCTCGGCCAGCGCGTATGTAGAAAACCTATAGGACCGGGCCGTGGAGGGTTAAACTGGCCTCTGAAGGCCCAGACCGTCTAAAAGTCCCACACCGGCCTCTGATAAGTGATAGTCAATCAGCCCAGTTGCAGTGGTCGCTGATATAAAACCTCTTAAAAACGTTATAGGCCTGGCTGAGCCTAGCTGGGCCGTTCATGCTGATTTTTATAGGTATATTGAAAAGACTCGCTTTGCACGTTTCACGCTTGCTCGTAATGAAAAAGTTGCTGGATGCCTCTGGAATTTGCATGGGTGCCAACGGCTGCGGAGGACAGGGGAACGCGTCCATCAGTTTGAGTTTATGGACGGGAGACTCCCTGAAATTTCAACCAATTTTTTTCTTTTTTTTTGTCTCGATTTTTTTAAACCTCTGAGCATGTTTGCGAAAACAAAGTGGCCGAAATCCGAGGAGAAATCGGACTTTGGGGGTAGGTTAGGTTTTGGACCTCTGGGACCCTGGCCCCCCCACTTTCGAAAACGTTCCTACGCCTATGTCTTCGCTAAAACAACAAAATCCGATGAAGCTCTGTGATTCAGTGCTTTTGATTCAGTGGCCGCTTTTTTTTATTCATTGGCCCTCATTTAGTATAAACCACGGACGTATAAATAAACGTTTAATTATACGTCCGTGGTATAAACTCATAGATATAGAATGACGTCATATTCAGTTGACCAATCTTGGACCAATCAACGTCATGCAAAGGTCAATTTTTGTTTTTTTTTGTTTTAAATTTAGCTCGAATGTTTGAATGGACGGATTGACAGAGCCGGAGTCCACGCTAAGCAGAGCTTGTTGCGTAGACCCCGACCCCTACCGTCCGATCGCGCAATTCCGGGTAACGGGAGAATTTAGATGCCAAAGTTTAACGTGCCCTTCAAAGCCGGACACGGCCTGTCCCACTCAACTGACTTCAACTGGCTGCGGCTGCTCCCACCAACCGCAGACCATCCCCGTCAGGAGTCTCATATATCGAGCGCCGGAGCGTCTCGAACCCGGGCTCTCACCACCGGGAGTCCGATGCTCTACCAACTGAGCTACGGGACAGGCTAAAAGTGTTTACGAATCTCAATCTCAAGTGTTTACGAATTGGTGATTGGTACATTTGGTGAACGATACTCGCAAAGAAAAAGTTTGAACAGTTAGCTTAGATAATTCTCATAATTGTCTGTTACGCGTCGTAAGCGACTATTTTGCAGCGAGGTTGACCCCGCGTTCGATGTCTCTCGGACGACGAAGATTCTATGCCGTCCGGCCAATCCCGTCCAAGGTCAGCGGGGGCTCGGCCGCGGTTATGGAACGTGATTGGCCGGACGGCGTAGAATCTTTGCCGTCCGGGAGACATCGAACGCGGGGTGAGTTTGCTGTGACTTTTTTACAATTTGCCAACAATTTGCATTATATGGATGAAGTATTCCTTATATGCTGATGCTTTGTTATAATTTATCTTTGACGTTTGGGTATCGAAGAAAAGGTTGGCTGGGGCGAGTGCCGGGTTCTTTAAGATAGGCAAGATTCTTCAAGATCATATATATATATATATATATATATATATATATATATATATATATATATATATATATATATATATATATATATATATATAGAGGCAGAGCATTATAGAGTTCAGTGAGGCAGAGAGTAGAGCAAGAGCAAAGCCGTAGGGGTATATCAATATCAATATACCTAAAGAGTAGAGTACGCTCAGAATGGGATGGTCCTTGCTTTTCACGGACGCCGGTGAAAACAGGGCGCCTGGGGCGTTTTGATCAAGGCTCTTGAAATTCGCTTTCGTGGATCACGTGACCGAGATTTCGACTTGGCCCATGGGTGGTTTTTTAGCTATTACCTGCTACGGTGAACCAGAATTTAATTTATACATTCATTGCGCGGCTGTTACAAAGAGTGATACACACACATTGGGCACACTCTGAACCAAGGCTATATAACTCTGAACTAAGAGAGTGTTGTTGTTGAGTTTTGCTGTTTTATGAATGTTTAATGTGTTTTTAACTACCTCAATCTCGCTTTTACAATATCTGAGACATGAACATGGTAAGCTTTTAAAATAAAATAACACCACATTCCTACATCAGCATGAGAAGAGGGACATTTTTGGTTTTAAGACAATTTGGACAATTTTGGACAATTTGGCGATAAAGTGATAATAGGTTATGGTTTGATAAACCAGTGATAAATGGTTTGGTGAGAATTGGGTGCATTCGCCGGACAGCCCGTCGTGAAAACGGCTAATATTTTTTCCCTTTGCAGTTGAAGATGCAGAATGGCTCTGCCCCGTGTGCCGCAGCAAGCCACAGCCTGCCGGAGAGAGCACATCAACATAGTAGAAAACGTAAGTGGTTATGTGGAGTGACCAAGTGTAATGACACTTATGAGTAGTTCTTCTTATGTTGTGTGCTTATTTCACTCTCCATGCTTTATTTCACGTGATACCTAGTTATAACTTATATTATATCTGTGTCGAACAAATTAAGTATTAACTGATGGAAATCTGACCACTTGCGCAACCCATCTTCTCACAGCATGGACATCCGGAGAGAACTATGCGGCATGACAAACTCTACGAGCACTGGTGGTTCCTCCCTGCCGTCTCACGGCAGCGGCGCAACGGTGTCGAGAACGGTGGCTTGGTCAGCGTGGAATCCGGCGAGGCGCTGCGCGCTGAGGGTGGGTGATAGATGACCGGTCACTGAACAATGAAGCGAGTCAGATCATTGGGCGCAGTGATTACCAGCCACGCATCGCGGCTGGTCCGCGGAAGTTATTGCTTTGATGTCGGACTAAGTCACACAATGTTTTGTCACATTCTAGAGTGATGCTGACAATGGAATGCATCGCTAATTTGCTTCCGATGCTGCCTTAACGGTGATATGAGATGCGTGATAAACCGTTTGTTTGTTTGTTTGTTTGTTTGTTTGTTTGTTTGTTTGTTTCGTTGGGTTAGGCCCTTTCGGTCCGATGAGACCATTGCAGAGCCGGGAGGATGATATGACTTGGGGGGAGGGGGCATGGGGCGAGCACCCTAGTGAGTCGCCGGGGCTGAGCCCATTTAAATGGGCAGGCCACCCAGCCCCCAGGCTACGGGCGTGCTCGGCTTATGGGCAATCCCGCATGGAATAAAGTTGCCCGTCCAGCCCGGACCAGGGGGTTGAGGCGTGGAGAAGAAGGGTTTGAATGTCCTAAGGATGGAAAGGAAACGACGGAACGGTATGTGGTAAATCGTCATAGGTATGTCACTAGTTATGTCACAAGCAACAAGACCTTAGACAGCAAAACATGTGAAGTGTGAACACCACATCAATGGACTGGACGACACATATGGGCATCACAGCATAACTAATGACAATAACTAACGTAGCTAATAACATTAGGCACGTACATAGCATAGCATAACTAATGCATTGCAATTGCGAAGGGGGGGAGGGGGCACTCCTGGTCACCTGATAATGGGTGGCGGCTTAGAAAAAAATTAAATGACTTGTCTATCAATCTTTGTGCCTTAACGTAACTGGTAGATATAGTCCATAGTTGCAATTACGCGTATGCCATAAATACTTTTCGATTGTGCACTCATTCCGCGCAGACCTCGCATTCATAGGTGGCGTCCTAGCCCAGCGGAAGTATTCTAGGGGGCGCTGTTTGCGGCAATGGATTGTGAACTTCTAACTACGTTCCTTGCAATATGATACTGACAGATGTGAATACAAGTGTCCAAGACATTCGTCAAAAGAAAAAAAGAACAGCATATTAGGAGAAAATCACCTGATACTAAAAAAGGCAAAGTTGCAAGCCTTTCAAACACGCTGCGATGCGTTACTTATAATTTAGTGTCACTTGACGTTACGGACAGGGGCCCTCAGGGCATACTACGGGCACCGTAGCGCCATCTCTTTGGGATCTCTAAAAGCATTGCCTGCGACCTGCACCACTAGGCAGTGACAACTATCTGGTCATATAGGTAGACGGCGTGCTTACAGATGATATACCAATTCTGCCTCGATTTTTTTATGTGCTCGGTTTGAAGTTAACCGAACTTTTAAAAGTACATTTTAAATTTGAAAACTTGTAATAGCTACTAAAACATTTTAAAACTTCCTTCGAATCCTTCGTCACGAATGGTGCTAGGAAGGAAAACTTCACCTGAGATCACGTGACTAGATATGGCAGTGTGCCATATCTCATGCCCTCCGGCGCCCTGTTTTCACCGGCGTCCCTTTTCACCTAGCAACTGTTGGTGCAGTCCTGTTAAAGGAAATGGTTTACTTTTAACATGGAGTTTTGAACTGGAATAGCAGTTTTGTAGCTTGAGCTGAGACAAGCACAAATCAGAAGCTCTAATGGCCCAAAGATCACCCTAGATGAAGATGTTCTTTTTCTCTGACACTAATAAGATTGAATGAATTATCTACAATGAAAACGCTAGGTTACGATGGCCTCTCCGACCTCTCGTTCTGAAAACAGTGCCTTGCAGAGTAATGCGTGCCTTGCTGAGGAATGCTGCCACACCATCGTCAGCCAATCAGCATGTTGCTTACAGCCAATGGATTTGTTCCTACTATACATAATATGATTGGTCAACACGTAAGACTAAGCTTCCACATCAAACTATATTTTATATAGAACATAGTACCATGAAACAGGGTGTTAAGGGACAGTTTTGAGGTATGTTTTGTTATATACCTAACTCAGGAAGGGTTTGAGACAAAAAGCATCAAATTATCAGCATTTTATGTGGAATTTGGTGCTTTACATGCCTGCTGCATTAAAGTTTTAAAAATATATGCCTGCATATTATTATTTTTTGATTGAATGGTTTGAAACACTTTTTTAAGCATGATTATGATTAGAAGGGAAATCAGATGGAATAGTAACCTTTTGCTCATAACTAAAGTAAGCTAAAACCAAATCCAAAATATATTTTTGGTGCTGGACCTTCTTCAGTGGAATGACATAAAAAATAAATGAATGACACTTTTTTGTCATTCCACTGAAGAAGGTCCAGCACCGAAAATATAATTTGGAATTGTTTTTAGCTTACTTATGAGCAAAAGGTTACTATTCCATCTGATTTCCATATCATTTTTTATTATTTTTTCCTCACTGTCCGCTAGCACCCCAATGTGGGGTGTTAAGGTACACCTATATTATTCCAAGAAATGGTCATCAAATGCCCACAATTTGGGTGTGAATTGTGAAAGGGCACACAATTTATTTATTGAATTGTTTTGCATGTTCTGTCACAAAACAAGTCAGGTTCACTCACCATTAATGGCCTTTTTAGCCAATTACATGTAATGCAGTTTACACTTATGGAAAATGTGCTAATTATAAGGTAAACTGAACCAAAAAGCACCCTTCTGTCACCAACAAAAACTCACTTTGAAGGTAGTCACTTGTCATTATGTTGCCCTCTTTGTTTTGGCCTTTTTGTGATGACATCACATTTACCTACATCAGTCTTCATTGACCCATCATTGTAAAACAAAGGTGTAAAACAAAGGCAGATGATGAACACCTCAAAACAGAGTTTTGAGGTGTTCATCATCTGCCGCAAACGCCGCACTTCCAAAATAAAGTCGCTAGGAACAGCGGAGATCCCAAAAAGTAAACAAAAGTAAAAGTCTAATATCTTGAAAACCGGTGAATATTTTTCGGTGAAATTTGGTAGATATTCGTTTTTGCTCTTTCTGAACCGAGCGACATCACTTTCATGCCAATTCATTAACTTTTTTGAAGGTGGGAGGGTCCCTAAAGCAATGGCTCAGGGTAACTATTTCTTGATCAAATGCAGTCGTTCCATTGAGTTTAAGGCTGCATCCTCAGTCCTCACCACTCGATAGGTACTCTGTAAGATTGAAAGGTAATTTTAAATAGACTAGTTCCTAATTGGATAGTTGTGTACCAATAACCAGACCTTTTCGTAGTACCAGCCGTGAAAAGGTCAAGGAAAATAAATATGCTGGCAGCTGGCTAAGCATGATGATGATTCACGCGATGGATTTGGATTAAATTACAATTAGAATGTCTAGCAGAGCTGGCTAGCAGCTTCATACTTCTTGAGTTTTTGGACAGGTAACAGTTCTGTATGTTATCTTGTTATCTTTTAGTGTCAGTTTTAATTTGTAGGCATTTCCCATATTTTTGGGATGATAGACCAAGCGATTTCAGCAATAGATTGAGCAGCAGGCTACCATTCAGTGTTAAGCTTGTTTCCACTACTCATTTACTGTTATTGTTCATTCGTGTGTGTCTGGTGTCTACAACTAAAATGATTTTTCCTTATATGCGCACAACTGCTCTGGAAACAGCTGGCCCCCGCCATTTTCGTAACTTTGAATTGACATGTTGTTCTTATTCAACAGATGGATGAAGCAAAATCCAAGCCCCGTGACGACTGTTTGCCGCTGAGCAAAATTCGCACCATCATGAAGAGTTCGCCGGACATTGAGCTGGTCAGCCAGGAGTCTCTGCCGATCGTGTGCCGCGCCACGGTGAGTCGAGCTATGAGTCCCTGTCCCCTCCCAGTGACTGTTTGGCCCGCCCCACGCCCGCTGCTAACCGTGCTGAGTCGGACGATCTCGACGTTCGTGTGAAACGATAACAGAGGGCGTGCCGTAAAGGACCAGCTCCGTCGAGGGCGGAGTGTAGGTGGCGCGTCAGTCGTATGCACCGTATGGCTGGCTCATCCGAACGGAGTTACTTGATCTAAAATATTTGCTTTTCTTATGAGTAGCAACAGATGTTTCTTCCATTTCGTGGAAGTACATGCATGGTATGTACTCCGAAATTTCAGCGAAGGTCAATTAAATTGAATGACGTTCATTGGAAGTCATCCACAGAGCGATTTGGTGTGTTATTTTTCTCAGAAACTTGCAGTATTATGGCTAACCCTTCTAGTGATGGAAGGTCTGTGACGTTTTTAATCGCTATTACAGGAAATGTTTATCCAACACTTCATAACGCAAGCCTATGTGCACAGCAAAGACAAGAAATGCATCGGCTATGGCGACATCGCCGTCGCAGTAGAGAATGAAGAAAACTTGCATTTCCTGTCAGGTGAATAACTTGGTCACTAAATCTAATGTTACTTGGTTCTTTCTGGTCTTTTCAAAGAAACAATTTCATGCATTTTGTTAATAATTTAATAACTGGCATTGCCACTTCTGCTAGTTTTTTTCTTAAGTCCTCTGCGGAACGCGTGCAAAGAAAGTAAAAAAAATCCTTCGTCATTTCGGCGAGAATTAGGGCTCACAGCCCAACAGATTAAGCGATTTTGGCCAGCAGTCAGCAGATAAAGCAAGTTGTTTTCCCCTACTTTTGGCAGATATTCTACCACGGAAACGTCTAGCTGGCGAGTGCATAGATATGAGTAAGAAGAAGTCCTCAAGTCCGACGAAGTCCGACCCAGAGCCCCAGCGGTGATGTTCTCTACGTGCCTCCAAAATATTTGCTCCGTGGCACAATTCATGTGCTGTCTTCTTATTTCAGCGTTCCGTCTTGCAGGACCGCCCGTGACCTTTGTTACGATGGAAGGGTGAGAAAGAACTGTTCGTTTTAGTGGTGTATTGCGTAGGTCTCCTCGCTCATCGTCATGTGTAAAAAATCATCCTATTCATACTGTATCCGTCAAGCTCACCTTTATAAATACAAACATTCCCATATACATAACACTATGTACTGCGCATGGATATCGACAGGATAGCTTCGGGTCAGAGCTCAGTAGCATGCTGGTCAAAAATGGTCGAGTGGTACCTAATAATGCCACTCGGGAATTGGGAATTCACTTATGAAATTGAGTTTCACGTAACTGTTTTGAAATCTTGACCGTGACACCACTTTGACCCAAAAAAGGATAACAAAATACGAGCAGTGCACACAAACTATGCCCAATAGTCGTCCTTTGAACAATGCCATTGACAATGTCCTTGAGAAATGGTCGTCAACACGTCACGCCATTTTGATGTGGCTCGTCTGTCAAGTCACCATAACAAACTCGTCCTAACACACGTCACGCACGTAACAAATTTACACTGAATATGCCCATGTAACAACAATAACAACAACAAATAAAGGCTGCTCACTCCGACCTCGGCGCACCGGTATCCGATACCGATGCCCGATAACACTGCGTGTTCAGAGGCTGTCGGGTTGCAGCAGGCTGACCAGCAGTCTCGACACGCCGAGGCCCGACAGAGCGCCAGGGAAGATATAATGCCACGCTACCGCTCAGTAACGCCGGTCTTTGGCCGTCGCTACACTCGGCAGTCTTTGTGTGTCTCCCTCCCTCCCTCCTCCCACCTTCTCATTCGCAACGGAGCACGACTTCCAACTTGCTGCGGAATTCAGACGTTTGATACTACTTCGAAAGGAGCAGCCATCTCCCTCTCACATTAATTTCTAAGCGAGCGTTGATTCTGTTCTCTCCAGCACTGTCATTTCGCAGCCAGTGGAAGTCGTCTCTGCCGTTGAATCTGCCGCACTGCTGGCGGCCTAGACCACCTTGTTTCCGCGCGCCATCCACCGTTTGGTGAGCACTCCGAACACGGTGCAGATGTAGACGAGCGCGAGCAGCGCGCAGGTGACGGACAGCGCCAGCACCGAGCTGCGCGTGGGACACTTCTCCAGCAGCTCCACCTCCTCCGGGAAGCCGAACGCGTTCGTGGCTGTGGGGAGAGAGCAATATTTCGTCAGAGTCGTTGGAGCATTCAGATAAGAGAATGTCTGGAGTAGAGCAGCAAATGTATCTTGTTTGCAAATGGTGATGATGTGATGAGATACGCAAGCTGTTTGCTCATCTCCAAGTTCAGTGCGTGTTAAGTTTATGCTGCCAGTTTTGCAGTCCCAGCACCCTAAAGCCCCCATCATCTCCTGTCGTTGAAATCGAGCAAACAATGGTGATACAGCAGCCAAGCCTCTCGCAGAAAACTTACAGCCGTCGGCAGCCGGGTTGGCTCGTCGCCGGTCCTGCGGCCACGCGTCAGCGGCCGGCTGGGCGGCTTTCTCGGAGGTTTTCACGGCGTCGTCACCCAGGTCGAGCACCAGGATCTCCTGGCTGAGGGTCATCGACTCGGGGTCGTCGCTGGTTCCGGCCGAGCGATCGCCGGTCGATGCGAGCACCGAACGCTTCCTGCGGCCCCAGGACTGGAACTGCTGCCGTCCGTTGTTGCATTGTGCCTGGAGACGAGACGTTGGGCAGTTACGGGAAGGTTGTGTTCAATTCACTAGTTGGTGGTAATGTGCTATTCGTCAAGCATTCCTAGCTATGTCACGGTCCCATTTACGGTCACGTTTCTTATAAGTTCATGACGATCTGGACTGAACAGTGAACACCTGCATCATTATGTTGTGTCGCCTGGTACTTGAACTGGAAGGCGCCAGCCCATTTGGAACACGCGTGAAACGATCTCCTTCTCGTCGTGTTCAAAGCCAATTAGCCGGCCGATGGGATCGTGGTGACGGGACTTACCGGTTCACATGGTCCCAGGCAGTACTTGACGTTGCATTGGAAGATGACGCCGTACGACTCGGTGAAGCGGAAGGCCTCGTAGCGCGACTCGAGCGCGTACACTTGGGAAGTGAAGCGCGGGAAGATGTTTGTGTCCACCGGACATCTGTAGTGCAAAATGATTTGTCAGCGGTCTTTCGTTGCCGTTGAGGGTTGGCTTTTCAGCAAGTTGATATAGAGAAAATAGAGTTGGAAGTCCAGTTATTTTGAAAATGAAAGATGGCTGAAATGCACGATGATCAAGGTGCCTTTTTAACGAGTAGGGTAGGTACTTGTCAACGTTTTCTTACCCGTTCTCATCGATGATTCGGAACGTGCTCCTGGCGTCCTTGGCCATGGCCACGCAGTTGCGGGCAAAAATGCCGTAAGGTGCTGAAAAGGAAAGTTTACTGATCAGTTCCTGAATCATAGTAACGATGGGTATACATTGAAAATATGAAAACTGTATTAGTCTTCAGCCGACCTCGTTCCTTATTTAGTCTTATATCCATAGCGCTCGTAGCGCTAGGCGCTAAGTGATCCAAGGAAGAAAATGGGACGTTTCCTTATAACGTTGATATTCACTTTTGCTGATTAAGCTGTCATCCCGTTCTGAACGTTTGCTGGCTGTACCCCGCGGCTGATGACCCCATCCAGACGCTCAACTCACTGTTTTGCGGGATTTCGATGCGGAAGCGCAGCTTATCTCCGATGCGGACCGTCTCCACCTCCCGGCCGACGTCGTTCAGGATGCTGATCCTCGGCGGCGGCGCCTCAGGAGCCGATGTGATGGAAATCATGTCCGGATCCCTGCAGTAGATGACATCCGAGAGTCAGGTGGTCGCTCTGGGGTGATTTATCTCAGACCTAAGCCATGAGCATATGGCTTGTTATTTGTGACTAAAGCTCTCTACTTTCTTATTGTCCATGACAAATGCTATCGCAAGAATTCTTCAATGAACTCACTATGTCTGTAATTGGGACGAGGAGGAGGGCAAGCTGTTGCTCTGCACTAACGCACAGTTTCAGTGATTGATGCAGATAATGTTTCTGCTTATCGGAGCGCTGATATCACATAATCTTTTCATGAAACTGGTGAGCATCGTGACACGCGATTTTGAAAACGCTGTGTTTTTAAACAGACCTGATGGGAAGCATGCCGAAGGTTATGTTCTTGGAGGACATGTCGTAAGTGCAGCGCACCTTGTAAATCTTGTCCGTCTTGGTCATCACCACCGAGTGATGCTGCACCACCACAGTGTTGGAATAGACGGTGCCCTGTAGAGGAGGAGGTGCAGATGTGATTTAAATTCAAAGCTGCTCTAATGGGCAACCTGTTTGACGTGACGACAGGAAGACACTGCGTTCGTCTTTACTGCGCTTTGAGCATTTTGAGACTGCCAGGGCAAACAGTTCCATACGATGGTAATCGTTTCACGGTGACTCGCAGTTACCCCATGTATGATCGCGTCTACTCACGATGGACTGAGTGTTGCAGTCCTGTCCTGAGAGACTGAGGTCCAGCCGGAACTGGTCCGAACTGATGACGTCCACGTTGCAGGTCTCCGAGCGGCCCAGGGCGTAGATGCGGCCATTGAACGGCTTATTGGTGGAGACCTGCACTGCGATCCTCGTGTCCTTGCACTGAACCGTCACTGCGGGGAACGGAACTTCGTCAGCGAATTCATTGCATGTATGTACTGAAAATTTTAGGGAAGAGACGTTTACGTGATATTGTTTCGTATCTAATTTGTTAGGACATTGGCACTATTCGCAAACATCTGGCACAAAGCGTTAACAGTTGTTCATCTGGTGCCTCAGGCATTAGGAATATGTCTAGATGTCTGCGATTTTCTGGCTACAGTTCCTCTAACTTCCACAAAGCGAGTACACTAAGCTCGGGGACACCACAGCTGCTCCGGTATGTCTCACCGTCGTAGCAGGTGCCTGTCGAGTCGCAGTTGATGTCGCCTTCCTGCGGCCCCGCCTGATCGTTGCTGGGTGCTCCGGCGCCTCCGCCGATGTTGGGGAGGTCGGGGATGGTGACGACGGTTGGCTGGTCGCCGTCGTCAGACTCTAAAGCGTTGGGAAACGGGATTCGTCAATGGTGATTGAACGGAAGGCTGAATTTTCGGATGTTTAGCTTGAGTTTGAAGTGGTTGGTACTTGGAAGCTTTTGAGATGAACAGTGAACTGGAGTTGCAAGGTGCATGCCATTCCGAAACGGCAAGCTTTCGAGTTAGTTCAGAAGGTGCGTAGTATTCAAGATGTGCTTGTCACAGCATCTAAGAAGAGCAAGCAATTTATCCGGTGATTAATAGATCCTGTTAGCTATGTCAAAGTTCGTGCAGTAAAGAAGAGCCAATGGGGTAAGATGCCAAGCTAAGAGAGGCCACCGGGCGCTGACAAGAATGACAAAGAACAATTTCACGAGTGTGTTTGTGCTCTCTAAGCTAGGTGACCGCCTGTGCAGGCTGACCTGAGGTCGGGTCGATACCCACGGCGCCGGAGTCGAAGTTGACCGGGCCGGGGCCGCCAGCGTCGTAGTCGGCGTCATCCAGGGACCCTGTGTGCCGCCATCGGGTTAGTGGCGCGCCCTGACCCGCGCCGGTGGCCAGTCATGCGTTAAGTAGCGGTAAATCGGCGACGCACGGCCAATCATTCACGGGTTATCGGGTGCACTTCATCGAGAGGACGTAACAGTGTCCTTATGGTTAGTGTGTGCCTCATTGTGAGGTTATGGTCGAGTAGTCTCGGCAAGAGTCATGCAGTCAGTCGCCGTAGTAGTGATGTAAGTGATTCCGTCATGCGGTCAGTCGCTAGAGTAGTTAGCTGGTCATGCCGTCAATGGCTAATGAGTTGGTCATGCAGTCAGTCGCTAATCGCTAGTGAGTCGGAGAGTATGTCAGTCACCAATGAGTCGGAAAGCTGGGCGATCATCGAGTCAGAGTCGGTCAGCCAGTGGGTCGGTAAGTCGGTCAGCCAATCAAGTGGATCGCTCGGTAGCGTCCTTGGTCACGGGTAAGGACTATGTTGTCCTGCTTTCAGTAAGGTATATAGGATTGGTCTGTTATTTGATATTTCACTGGGGTATGGGCACAACGAATGGGCGGTTCGGAAGAAACCCAGTTGTAAGAGCTAACCTGCGTCGTTCGCGTAATGATGTCAATCGCACCTCAACTTACCTGCTGTTCCATCCTCGTCATCGTTGACATGGCTAAAAGGGCTGCTAGCATTGTGCTGAAACATGCGCACTAACTCCGTAACACCACATGCGAGCTTAACTGCACCCATCCCACCCTCTGGCATCTACACACCCTTTCCACTTTCACCCTATACGAGCACCTGAGCTCACCATGTAGACGTATTGGCCGACCACACGGCACACACTGATCACTCGGTCACATCGAAACATTAGTATTTTTTGCCTACGTCGATTTTTTAACATGACATGCCTTTTTGCTAACCATGTTTGTTGCAATCAAAAACATGGTTGGTTGCCGCGAAAAGTGATCTTGTTGCCTTGTGTGCCGAGTGGTCGGCGCTGCGGCCGGCCTCGTCTCCCCACGCCTCCACCTCGTTGTCCCTTACTGTACCTAGAGAGACGTCGCCGAGGCCCGGTATGGCCACCGCCGGCGGGATCTTGGCCACCAGCTCGTCGCTGGCGAGCGCTGGCGTCAGCGGAGAGGCCAGCAGGGATCGGCCTGTGCGGAGAGGGTGGCGGCGTGAAGCTACGTGCGGTGCGCGGCGTGACCAACGGGACCCAAAGCATGTGCTCAGGTGTGCCTGCTACCTCAGCGTAGTGCGTGTGCTTTGGTGAGGTTGCAGTCACTAAGCTAGACTAGGCGAATGCGATGTAAGTAGCATACATTTGAAGTCATTACATCTGCATATGTGAGAGCTTATTGAACTCAGGAGCATCAGGATGGGCATTATTGGGAATGGGACCTTTACTGGTGTGTCAGAACTGAGGTCATGGCAGCGTGGTTGACAGTTTAGCGGTGCGTTTACGAAGCAACAGTGTCTACCGATAGCGTGATGCATGCAGTTGTCATTGCGCGATTCACCTGGCAGCTGAAAGTTGCTTACCGCCGCTAAATGACTGTGCCTCTAGGCATAGCATAACATGCATATGTATCGCCATCATTGCTCCAGATTAGAAGTACTTATTTATAGTCTCCGTTTTCGTTCTTTACGTGAACCTGCAGTTCTCACCTCTCGTCATTTAGGTTGGGAATAGGGATCTAATTAAGGTGAGGCTGCTTGAAACTTCCAGCAAGAAAAGCTCGAAGCTTCAAGAAAGAGGACATCGATCCTGTCTCGGCCCTGTCCTCAATCCTGAAAGCATCCTCGTAGAAGATGCCATGTCAACTGTACCTGTTACTCGCGTTCTCCTTTCGCCCTGCACTCACTTCTGCAGACGTTTTCGTAGTAGGTGCCCGGCTGGCGTCCGGTGTCGATGAGGGGCCGGTTCGCGGAGAGGAAGGTCTCCACGCCGTCCGGTAGCGTGACGTGGTCCAGGTGGAACAGCTGGCAGTTGTAGGTGGTGCCCGTCGGCGGGCCGTGGTACAGGAACGACCGACACATGATCTCGCTCTCCACCTCACAGGCGCGCTGGCACGCCTCGGCAGTGTTAGCCTGGAGACGCGGAGAAGTGGCGGTCAGTGATTCCCACCCCCTCAGGCGCCCTGGAATGTATCCGGTCCCCGGCAGTCTTGATGTTGAGACAGGAGATCCCCAGCTGAGATGGGAGTTGGAGACTGTCAGCATTGGTCCTGGGACGCACATTACGGGAATCGGGACATATCCTTGCGAACGTGGATCTCAAACATTTGGTGCATACCTACTACCTACTATGCCTGGTTGGATCCGAATGGAAGGTTCAGACTGTGATGAGTCAGACAGGAGGTGGAACTACAGAAAGTGTTTATTGAGTACGGTGTCGGACGTTGAGGGAACGTCCCAGGGATTGGAGGTGCCGGTGAGTGGAAGCCCTTTTGGTGTGAGGGGTCATGCTCATACATGATGCCTGGTAATTGCAACAACCGGAACTCTGATGTCACGTGCACACCTCTTTAAAAGTATAGCGATTTACGGTGCGTATTGTTGGGCGGTGACAACAACAGAGGTGAGGTCTAACGGGAGTTGGTGAAGACCGTTTCGGAGCTAACTAACCTTAAAAATGCTTCAACAAAAGACACCACAGCGTGGTTTAGACAAGTCATCCAGCCACATTAAAAGCTCGCGGAACAAACAGCGCACTGTGCCTGCGGGTCTGTGCCATAAAGACATCGCCGCGGCACACCCGGGTCGCGGTTGGGGGCGTTTCTGCTCGGCCTGTGCCCTGCTACCGCCGCTACCGTCCGCTGCTGGGCCGTTCTATAAAGGTTGCCGCCGCAGTATACGGCCGGCGACCCGTTACCCTGACTGGGTTTGGCTCGGCGCCCTGTCCCGGCCGGGGTCGGCCGGCCGGCGCCCTCCGTCCGACGGGGTCGTTCGGGGTGAATTTGTATGGGAGAAAACGCCCGACGATCCCCATGCTGCACCGCCGGAATGTGATGAGGTTACGTTCGTCATTCGGGCGACCCGGCGACTAGCAATTTTCTTTTATAAGTTGACATGCATGTTGCCACTGCGATAAAGCCATTTTGCGCATGACCCCAAACGGGCGCAAATTGAAACCGTAATTGCCTGGGACTCGTTCCTGACTTTGTCATCAACTCACCATGAGTTCCAGGTCGACGTAGAAGCTGGTGTCGACGAAACGGTCGATCATGGAGTTGGGCACGCCCAGGTTGGGCACGGGAAACAGTCGCTCGCCCTTGCACGCTTCATTGCCTGCGAACGGTGGTGAGAAGCGGTCAGCTCAGTCACGCGCGTGCCTGACCTCGGCGGCCTCAGGAAAGGTCCAGCCCTGGTTGGCACGTTATTGGCACGACTGGAGGACTATGTGTGGATGCTGGAGGATAATAACCTATGCAATGGGAACGATGAACGAGATGTGATGTGCCGGGACAGGATTTTATGCAGCTCGTTGACAAGTTGAAGGGGCCGGTCGGACGAGTCGATTACAACTGTGACTTGGTACAGGAAAATAAAACACAAGGAGCGTTCAACATACATCGGATAATGGTGTTGCTTGAAATTTGAATAATACACATTCATCTCATATGAGTCATCTTGGTTGGCCCTATGACATCGTGTGATTCCCTGTAGGGGAGAGTGGGGCAAAGCGGCCACCCTAACGTTTCTAACGATGCCGACGCTTGATTTTTAAACTTGGAAAGATTCTTTCTATACCAATGTGATCCCTATTAAATTGTCTTTTATTCCAACTGCGTTTCATTTCCAAAGGCGTTCACATATGGGAGATATTGACAAAACTTTAAACCTATAGCATATTGGCCACTTTGCCCCATCCCTGAGGCAATGCGGCCACTGGCGACTTCTCAAGTCCCGATATGAGAAACAGAATAGTGGCCTCATGCACGACTAGGGTATTTGATGGTGACAATGTTTAAGGGAAGATGGATGTTTACTTTGTTATCTTCCCACCTATTGCTAAACAAAGAAAGAATTTTCTTGGAAAAACATTTAATTGCATAATTTGGTAACTCATGTAACCGAAAAGTGGCCAAGATTAATGCATGACGACACATTTGAATATTAATAATGTTTTTATCCAGATGGAAACAACTTATGGCCAATTGGGGGCTGGCCACTTTGCCCCGGCCGCTTTGCCCCGCGCATACCGTCCGAGACAAAAATATTCCAGCTCAGCTATTAGTGGGGTAAAAAGCATTAAAATTGGTAGAAGGCATGTACGATAATCACGCAATGCATGGACAAAAACGCTTATAAAAATTCCAAACGGTTATGGAATAAAATAACATTTAAAAATTGTAAACATAATTGGTAACCTGGCAAGAAATGCTTTTCCGTGTTTCACAGAACAATGGCGATGGGCCTGAAACCCCGGTCTGGCTCATTCGAACGACCGCAAAGAGAAGTATAATTGGAAATCATAAATTGGAACTGACGCCAGCTGTGGAGGGCTAAAACGATGGTTGGCCGCTTTGCCCCGGGTGGCCGCTTTGCCCCACTCTCCCCTACCTTCTAAAGACGACATCTCCGCAGAACGCAAGCGTGATGTGATGAAGGCAATTCAAGACATGACAAACTTTTACACGGTCGAGTAAATTTTAGGCCTTCTTGACATTCAGGGAACTACAAACGACCCACCACAATACACCGCTACACCGACATTCCTGTACGGTTATAAACCCAGTCCTGGCGTTATGAAGCGTGTAAAGGGTCGGCTGTATAGTTTATCACGGACCCGCGGGTCACCGTTGGAACTCTCTGCCGCTCGGGACACGGTTGGGTGCCCGCGACCTGTATATACGCATCGACTCGCTGACGTTCCAATCACTATCGCCAGTGGCACGCGGCGGAGTGACCCGAATAATACGCCCACTTGATGGTCTTGGTCCCGCGGCCGTCTCACTTCATGCCTCGGCTTACTAACGGTCTTTATGTGCTAAACATCGCTTCGCTGCTCTTTGTTTTAATGCAACGGCCCAAAAGTCCAGTACGAGAAAGATCGCAACTAATTCGGAAAACAATGTATCTCCTATCTCCAACTTATGTTTTAGGCAATGTCACGTGATGTCTCCAGCGGTATCTGTCATCTATCTTTCTTTCTGTCCCTCGTCCCTGCGTTAGTACATAGTGTAATAAATAACACTATGTTATTTATTACACTATGGTTAGTACTAGGTCAACAATTCAACATATCCGTTTGCAGAAATGTATTTTTTAATGTTCATTGAATGACGATGACATATTTTGGATGATTTTGCAACTTGTAGTTTTATCGAGTTTTCTGCGTAGATCCTGCGTAAATCGGTATCTCTTATAACCGATGCCACATTGTTTGATCGCTGGGACCCTATCAGTCCCACATTTCTCAGCAATCATCCTAACCCGGCTTGTCAGTGTCGGCTCCTGCGGCTTGCCATGGCCACCGGCTTTGTGTTCCCGTCTTTGTGCACTGTGCAGCTCTGTCAGGGCCATCAGCAATACCTCCACGGTGTCACCGTCATTCAGTCGGCTCTGTTCTCAGCGCGCGGCCGGGGGTGCAGCTAACGGGCCGTTCGGCAGCCGAGCGTGCCCCTCTCACTGGGCCACCGTACCAGCGGTGACGGCTCGGCGCCGCCGCCGGCCGCCTGTGACCGAATGACGTCTTGCTCGCCCCTGACGCCGGCGTCATCGAAAGAGCGATCACCGACCCGCTGCACAGTGGGCCGATATGCCATTCTAGCGCGACAGGGCCTGAATCTTCGAACGGAACCCTTGGTTTTTCGCGAGTAATTCGCGTAAAAAGCGACCGATCGCAACGAAACTTTCAGTACCCTCGCGATAACTACTTTTACAGCTAACCTAAAAATTTCATGACCCTGACCTTAATGATCTTTGACCTGTGACCTTCTTTCGAGACCATGTTTGGCCGGAATCGCGATTCAGCGTATGTCGGCTCGCATTAGCCGCGGGTTTGCAGTCTTTTCTTGGTTTAAAGTGTTCAAACATGGGATATTTTGTTGCTCCCATGCATTAGGGTGGTGTCAAGGTCACCAGAAGGTCAGGTAAGGTCATTGACCTTTGATGACCTTGGTTCACTTTTTCCGAGTTTTACATGTTTCCAGGCTAGTTTTTGGAGCTGAATTCGAATCTAGCAACCATTTGAACATTTACTATGTAGCTTTGGTGCCTTCGTAACATGTTACAAAGCTGTCAGAGGCGGTTGCCACCTACTGCAAATACCCGGCAAAACCCTTACTGGTTGACCTGACCTGACCTGACCCGACCTGGCCTAAATGTATGAAGACATCATCTATGATCGTAAATAACATTATATTCGTGATCAGCACCCTAAAAACCCATAGCAGCCACCCTTTACGACGTTCTAACAGGTCCCGATTTCCCCGACTTTTGGGTCATTGACCTGACCTGGAAGGTCAACCGATGACCTAGGACCTTACAATTGGGTATCATCAGCTTCCTCTTGTCACGGGCAACACGCTCGTCTTTTCCGCGAAGCTCTAGCTCGATCAGGGGCGAAACGGCGGGGGTGTCCAACGGACCCCTTCTATACGTTCGCGGCTGGAAAAACACCACTAGGGGCGAGGGTTAAGCCAAATCTGAGGGCTTATTTCAGAAAGACCGCTAAAAGAGCAATTGAATGCACTTTTCTGCGACGATGTAGCTCTATTGGTCCCCGAGGTAAGGGCCGGTTTTCGAGAAATGTTGATATATGCAACATTTTACCTTTGATGACCTCTGGTGACGTGACCTTTGACCTGACCTAGAAATGACTAATTACTTCATCTGGAATTTTGGGCGCTCTTTCGAATGCCACTTACTACGTGTCGCTATGTGGCCCAAGAGCCGAGTTAGAAGGGGAGTGTTCAATCAACACCTCCCGGCCCGGCGCGTTTGACGCCGAGCACCGGTCCGGCGCGGGTTGATGTTTGGCTGCTACATCCAAAGTCGCAAAAAGTCGCAAAAAATGCCTGTTGGATCTTGTAGTGCAATTAATCATTGACATGTAGCGAGATTTTCGAAGCGGTACTCTGCGGTACTTTTTACGGAGCGAGCGAAGCGAGCGTAGTCTTTCCTTAGATTAACGGAAATTTCTGAGTATGAGCGGCCGGCCGGCCGGCCGGCCGTGGTCACGCTTTTGCGAGGCTTATATCTCAGCAACCACTTGACCGATTTACACGCGGTAATTTTTGTAGGGTAGCTTCATTCCTTCTACCAAGTATTGGACTATTCCTGATGCATGTGGGTGACCCCTTATGCACGTGCCACGTGCAAAACCAAGAGGTGTCCGTTTTGTAATTGTTGCAATATCTTGGTAACTACTTGGCTGATTGCGCTGAAAGTTGGCATGTAGGTAGGCACCCACTAGGCACTGCATATCCATGTGCCAGAGTTGGGGTGCTGCTGCACGTGCGCACGTGCAGGGGTCGATTCCAGATCTCGAGAACGGCTGGACCGATGGCGCTCAAATTTGGCACATGGGTAGGGACCGGTTAGTAGGGTGCCGTGCAAAAGTCAGTTGGGACCCATTTTGCACGTGCGCACGTGCAGGGTGCCGCTTCCAGATCTCGAGAACGGCTGGGCCGATTGTGCTCAAATTTGGCACATCGCTAGAGACCGGTTAGTAGGGTGCCGTGCATAAGTCAGCTGGAGGTACCCCCTCGAAATGTCGCACGTGCAAGGCTCACCCTCTCGCTCGCTCCGTTAGTCGCCCCAAAAGGCGTTATACTGGTTTTTAAAAGTCTATTTGTGTGTGACATCAATTATGTGAAATTATATTTTCGTCTTTAAATCTTTGCGGTGCCAATACATCATAACGAAGTAAGAGTTCGCCATTTTCATGTGGTTATGTGTGTTCTGCAGACCCAGAGCTATCGTTTGATGTATATAAATGTGGAATTCCTCCTCAAATTGTGATTGTTTTCGTGGATCAAAGATACGTTGTCGAAGAGTGCGGGGGACGAGTTCGGTCCAAACGATTTCGAAGTTCGTGTTTAAGCTGAGTTTTCGCCATGAAATAGCAATTGTGTTGGAAAACAAAGACCACAGCAATGTAGTATGATCATTTTTGAACAAATTGGTATAGGTTTCATTGCACATCCACAAAGTTCGATTTTTTTACCCATGTCGTGCTAGACCTGGCGATCGGCCCAGTGTGCGCTGGCCGTGGTGGAACTGCGGTCTGGCTGCTGGGTCGGTGCCGTGCGGTGTGATCACTCTCTGGTCGGGTTTATTCACACGGAGATCGCAGAGCGATGTTTTCCTGTTTTCTGAGGTGTAGGCGGGAGGTCGGCCGCCCCAGCGCCGTTCGTGCGGTAGGCGCCGGCAGCCACCCACCCTCTCGTGTGCTGGGGTGACTGGTCGACGTTCCGGTCCAGCGACCACTGAGCGGCGACGGGTGCCGATCGGAGACCGCTAGGGCGCCGCCCGGCCACCGCGAGGGGCGCCGCGCCGCTCAGGCGCCTCATGACTGGGTCAGTGTAGTCCACCGGCCGCGGCGGGACACAACTTCCGTGAGGCTAGCACGAATAACAAATGGACCGACTCGCCCTGCCTGACGTCAGTTTGGAATTCCATATGGCTGATGGTGAGCCGATACCTTGTGACCTCCAGAGCACTGCACGGAGTGTGACCGTCACTGAGGTCGCCGCTGACGCTGACCCATTACCCTAATCGGCCACCTGTGTAGCTGAACTGTCCCCCGTGACTCAGCACGTCCCGTCTCCCCCGACCTCTGCCCCGTTCAGACGTACCGTTCAGACAGAGGTTCTCGAAGTAGTCGACGCCCTGGACGTCCACGATGTTGGCCGTCTGGTCAGCCGTGCGCCGGTCGTGCTCGGAGAGGTGACACTGCAGGGTCACGTAGTTGTACTCGGCCGAGCGGCATACGAACCGCTCCTGCAGCACGACATGGGGTCAGACGAGGTCATTTGAGGTCAGACTGAGGAGTAGGGGAACTGAGGGAGCTATCGAAGTGTTTGTGAGGATTTAGATGAAGTCCCGGGTCGGTAGACAATGCAATCATAAAAGCTAGTAAGACTGTCACAAAAATCCCGTAAGAAAATATACGAGGAGCTTGTATTCTGGTGAGGAATAAGCAGTCTGCTCCGAACTGAAAACCGGATCTAATTTGTTCCTTCCGATCGATACGATAACAGACAGCGCCATCCGGTCGATGTATGGACAGGTTCCGATGCTTGTTCCGATAACCCAGTGAGTGACCTAGCCACTGATTGACACGATCATTACCACCCTGTCACAAGGTGATTGATCATGATAGGTAGATCGGGCGAGTGGGTGAGTCAGCAAGGCCAGAGTTAGTTACCGTGGGTGGGGCGAGGATCGGGAGCACACTACTGTCGTCCAGCAGCGCTGCTAACCGCTAGTATCGTGCCATGGAACAGGGTTTCGCTGCCCGTGATCAAGCCGTTTACGTTCAGGTGCAGTTCGATTCCGCGTAGCGAAATGAAGACTGCTAAAGACCTTGAAATATAGGAACCGCGGTAAATTCCGTGCAATGTGACGTACCTCATTGAGACAGGCGGCCAGGCACGCCTCCTTGGTGGAGGTGAAGATGAGGGCGTTGTCCAGACCCTGCAGCATCTTGTTCGGCACGCGCTCGAACGTCCACGGACGATTGCACACTTTGTCTGCAAGGCACAACGAGTTACGGTCAATGATCGGGAGATTTCTCCATTGTGTGGCGCATTTGTTCACTTACTTATCTATCTCTTACTTGTTCATTCGTTGTGCTGGGAAGCGGTCATTATTAGTTTGTGACGTTTGTTCCATGCCTAAGTCATGCCGTTAACCATCCATGTTTTTAGCTCATAGTTAATTTAATTTTCTGAAGATTGAGGTTTTTCGCGCGGAAACAATCTCCGATGAAAAAAGAAATGACTTCGATCGTAAAATTGTATTTGGCCGCTGTGATCCAATAAATTTCACAGTCCATTGGACGACATAATTGCGTTGTCCGTAGGCGGAATGTTCCAAATGTTCCAAATTCTACGCCATCATCCTCGCACGCGTTGTCGTCCCGCCGCCGGGTCGTGCGTTCCTGACTGGTCCTCCGGCGGTGACCCCTGGCGCGTGGTGCGACAATGGCCAGTCCCTGGGGCCGTGGCACCAATCGGGCACCGTTGGTGCCGCTGCACGGTGCACGGAATTATCACCAGCGTGCCACGACCGCGCGCACAATGGCTGTGACCAGCCCGCCGCCAGCCGTCTTGGTGATTAGACGCGGCCAGACCTAATGGGAAGGCGGTCGCGGGAGGTAGGGGAGAGCGGGGTGAGTTGTATCATGTCCAAGTTGTATCAGGGCGAATTGTGCCAAACTTATCCAATGGATGGCGCTCGCGACACGACCAGCCGACGAGGTTTTCCGGGCGCCATCTTTCCCTGTTCTGTCTTGTGGCTGAGTGGACGCGTCTCGAGGTGAGAGCCGATTTTATGTTTTTTTAATGTCATTCTAAAAAAATAAGTTGCAAGAAAATGTGTGTTCTGGGCTTTACATGTGCACGAATTTGAAAGATCTCCGTAGCGGTGGTGAGGGTAGGTTCTAAGGCTGCGTGAGTGAAAACGGATTTCTCCAGCTGTCCGCTGTTTTTTTAGCACGAGGATGTTTTTTCCAAGATGGCGGCTAGGTACATGTTGTATCAGAGCCGGGTGGGGTATGTTGTAACATGTATGTATGTATGTATGTATGGGTATGTTGCTTTTGATCGCGAAAGCTAAGCCCTGGCTCGCGTTTGCAGGTAGCTAGTCAGGGGCGGATCCAGCCGATCCGTTTGGGGAGGGCAAAAGTTTAGCCGACCATCGGCGACCCCGACCCACCACCGCGCCAGTGACCAAGTTACTTCACAACGCCAGTTACACAATCTTACCCTAAGATGGTGTAAAATGTCTTATGTTAGCCCGTGCCCAGCCGCGCTGGGGCTCCTGGATTTTCATGCCCCTGGGGGATGTTTGAACACCCATATCCCTTCTAACTCGGCTACTGGGCCACGTAGCAACACGCGGTAGGCGGCGTTTGAAAGAGTGTCAAACATAATGACCAAATTACCCCAGTCACTTTTAAGGTCAGGTCAGATGTCAGATCACCAGAGCCCATCAAAGGCCAAATCCCGATAATATTTAGGTCCAGTTTCGACAATTTTTGAAGAACTGGCGCATAACTCGGAAACGAATGGAGCTAGAGCGCACCAGAAAAGCTAATTTGATAGCACTGTTACTGCTCTTTCTGGATAATTCGCTCAGATTGGACCTAAGATCAACGGTTTAGCCTCCAGGGGAAACTGCCATAATATATACTATTTTTACGCGAACGGATTTTCTGCGATAACTTTTGAATCAAACCTTGTGCAATCTTATTTTTACCGGCATCGTGTTCCTCTCGCGAAGACGCGTCGAATGAGTTATAATTTGATCATAGAAAGTGAACTTACAACTTTGACATTTGGTCAAGTCATGACCTGACCGGAAAAGGCCGTGTTGCATATCAGTCGATCCGTATCGTAAAGCTGAACAAATCTAAGGTGTTTCTATTGCTCTAGAATGCCTCCAGCAGAAGTTATTAGCGAATTGCTGCAAGCTATTGCATATCTTTCGTGACCTGAGATGATCTCAGGGACATAAGGAGGGGTCACGGGTGCTATTTTCCGGTTGGTTCACTGTGTGCTGTTTAGGTTGTAACTCGGTATTGTTAAGAGTGACGTTTCTTATAAATTTAGCACGAATGTTAGAAAGGGCGGATTGACGGGAGCCGGAGCCTACGCTAAGCAGAGCTTGTTGCGTAGAGCCCGACCTCTACCGTCCGATCGCGTAATTCCGGGCGACAGGAGAATTTAGTTTAACGTTTAACGATGCCAATGTTTAACGTGCCCTTCAAAGCCGGACACGGCCTGTACCACTCCTGACTTTGACTGGCTGCGGCTGCTCCCACCAACCTCAGACCATCCCCGTCAGGAGTCTCAAATATCGAGCGCCGGAGCGACTCAAACCCGGGCTCTCACTACCGGGAGTCCATTGCTTTACCAACTGAGCTACCGGACAGGAGGTTTGTCCAAAAAAGGTGCCTTTCAATTTTCTCTTATTGACTTATAGTGGAGAGGTCGCAAAAATGACCTAGCCCTAGGTCATTGATATAAAAATCATGTGACTAACATTTTGTACATAGGTACCGTTACCATTATTAACTGCTGAAAGTTTCAAAGCGATCCGTCACTCGGTTTAGCTATGGCAAGCATTGGAACTGTTTTTAGGTTATGTCACTTGAGGTACAGCTTAGTGACTTCGTGACCTTGAGAGACCTTGGTCTGACATTTTCAGAACATATGCAAAAAATAGGTTTAAAATGGCGGCTAGGCATGTCGCCGTTTTTTTACGCGGAACGCTCAACAGCAATGAGGCTCCCAACAAATGACAAAACTGTGGATTGCTTAGGTAATTTCGAATATAGGGTGGTGGGCGTCTTACCCGACTGGGCATCTTGCCCCCTGTTACCTCACACCATGGCCATTGGCCACACTGCATATGCTTATGCATGCATTCAGTTCAGGGGGTTCAATCTAATATCAGCATATCGACCTAAAATATCAGCAGCCAGTGGTCAGCTCCTTCCTTCGGAATGGCCGTCACGGAAAGAAGCCCTGCTTTTCGTCCATATAGGCATCGACGCCGTATTAGATTTGCTCATCGCTACATGCTTTGGGAGGGGCAAAAAGATAGTCTTGCCCACACGATTTGGCTTTGGGGAGGGCAAATGCCCATTTTGCCCTCCCCTGGATCCGCCACTGTAGCTAGTCAATGCTCGTTCCATTCCGGCACAATGTGTTGGCTTCTTTGCTCTTAACGGGCCTCTTTTGCGTCTAGTCTGTTGATGTTTCGTTCGGATTGCATTGACCTAAGTTTGGTCTAATAAAGTGAAGCCTTTGAGCATACCTATACATTGTATTAACCCCATTTAATGTTGTTGTTATGTTCAAAACCAATAGGAAGCACACTCCCTGAAACGTGAAATAGTGATACAAATTACCCCACCATGTGATACAACTCACCCAAGCCATGGGGCAAGTTGTATCAAAAACATTGTTCTATTCGGGAGACCGTAGAAGAAAAACTGGTAGAGGTAGCGGAAAAGTTACTTTGCACAAAAAAGCAGAAGAATCAAGGAAGGGGATAGTAAGGAAATAATGAGTTTATCACGGATAGTTACGAGGTTATGGGTCTCGGAGTAAAAACTGATACAACCCACCCCACTCTCCCCTATCAGTTCATTATAGCGTGCTTATAGCGTGTCGGCGACAGGTATTGGCTCGCAAAGGCACTCGCACGACTTCTGGCGGTGGGTCGCGCTGCCGTGATGGTTTGATTTGGAGGTGCAAAAAGCGGACGTTCCGCCCCGGCGGGTGAGTGCCCCTCATTAGCGTAACTGGGCCGCTGTCGCAGTATCTCTATTGCGGGAAAAACGCCCAGTGGACCGTTCAATCGCCGAGGACGCGATCGGAGGTGGTTAGGTAGCCAGTTTGGAGCGCGATGGGTTTGTTTTTGTTTGGGTTTGCGGTAACGTATAACGGGAGTAGGTCGGAGGTCGCCGCCGTTTTTGGTGATTAGATGGCGAACTGTGCGTGGAGCCACTGCATGGAATCGGATCACTAGCAGTACTTTAAAACTTTATCCATAATTACCCAGGTCAACTTTGCCGATGCATGACTTGCCGTTTCAAGCAACTTTGCGACGTTCTTGGTTCTTATTTATACGGCTCTGCATTGCAATTTTTATGCGGTATGTAAATTCCGTCTGTACCTACCTATTTCAGGTAATGACGCCTTCAGGTAAATTTATTTTCTTTTTGACCAATATCTGCTTCATTTAGAATGGCTCTCACAGTCACACAGTTTTTGAACCAAAGCACCAAAGCACAGTTGCAGTTAGACGTCTCCGTTCGATAAATGATCTGGGCTGTCCGGCAGCCGCGGCGATCTCCGTTACTATACCGTGCCACCCACCGTTGGCGGCGGCGGGCCTCCTGGGCCGGGCCAGCCTCACACCGTCTGGTGTCGGTTCCAGTCTCACTCTAATGGCCCGTCCGACCATCTGGTGGCCGTAGGAACACGCGCCGGCCGCACCGGTCCCTCCCGCCGGTACCGGCGCGGCGCGCGGACCGCACGACTCTGCCCGAGTGCTGCCGGAGCTCTCCGGAGTATACGGAAGCTCTGGTCACTCCCACCGGCTGGCAACTGACGCTGCTGGTGTTTTGGTGGCTGGGCGTCTGCCCACTTTTCACACGTTACGTGCCGTTACGGATTATCAAAGCGGTCTTCAGCATTTCGGGTGTTCAAGATCCATTAATGCGCGACAAATGGATTAATCCAGATTTCACACGTAATAAGCAGTGTTCGGGTCGGTAACTGTCGGCTGTTGTTTTTGAATAGCAGTCTGTATCAAACATTTAAGACTGGTGTTTGTGGATGATTCGTGCTCTTTAGAACATACAAAAGAGGGAAGCAGAGAAAAGTGGATCCACTGGTTTAATACAATTGGAAACAAGAGTAAGAAAGAACATAGAATCTCCCAAATTTTATGTCCGCATTTTCCATGACCAGCAGTCTATTCAGCGACTCACCCGAGCGAATCCGGAGTTTAACCATGTAGTAAGTGCTGACGGCGCGTTTCGGCACTGCCGACGGGTTGTTGGCGGACGTCTCGTTCTGCAGGAGGCACACCGTCTCCTGGATCGGCGTCAGCGGGTTTGTGACGAAACTGGAACACGGCACATCACAACGTTATTTCTGCCGTCACTACATCACAGTGGCTGGAGAAGTGGGATAGTGCTGGTCAAGCGGCAAGTACGACCATCGTAAACGGCCTTCGCACGCACGCCGTGGCTGGGAAGAACGTTTTGGTCGAGGCTCTCGAATATTACGTGGGTAATTACGGATCGATGGTTTATTATCCATGAAAAAATCGGTCACGGGTGAGTTCGCAGCTCGGACAGCCGGGCGATGCAGAACGCCTGCCTTCTGCGGCCGTTTACCACCTGAATCGCGTACTTAGCGCGTCATCTGAGGCCGGTTGACGGCGTTGGATGACGGGCAGATCTGGGGGCGTTGGCCGCCGGGCCGGGCCGGGATGACAGCTGTACAGCACGTGCTGGTCGAGCGTCGATCGTTTCCGGTGGATTGTTTGGCTAACATTTAGTGAAGAGGTCAAGTGGGTGGCTAATTCGCTTTGAACGCCGACGTTTAGCGCTGGTTATCCGGTCACTTCGTGGCTCGGGTAAACCTCAGTGAAAGGGGAGCTCCTCGCTAGCCGTTCTCGTCTAATGACACCCGGCGTACTCCCAATGCTCGGCTGAACACCATGTAAAATGGTATTTCAAAGTATTGAAGGCATCCCAAACACTCGGCTCGACGCCGTGTGACGAAGTGAGGCCGCTCACCTGAAGGACGCGGCCTGACACTCTGGCTCCTCGCGGCACCATCCCTGGCACTCGTACAGGGTCAGGTTACGGATCGTGTAGTACGTGTTGCCGCGGTAGTCCATGTCAGTCAGCTTCTCAAACGCCACTGCTGCCGACACTGTGGACGCAAAGGAACGGTGAACGTCACAACACCCTAACAAAGGAGAGTGAACTCAAGTCGCCGTTACAACTACCTTTTGTGTAACAAGTTGTCAGACATATTTTCTTGTGCTAATGCAAAAACACATTGTTTACTCAACACACGAGACATTGTCACAATAGCGATGACATGAAGATAGCGTAACCGCTTTACTTATTCGTTGAAGTAACTCGCTTTACTCTGCCATTCCATTTGCACTGTTCCACATGTCGCCTCCATTCTCACTCCGTAATGACATAACCGTTCCGTAATTGACCCAACCGCACAGCGTCTCGTATGTCACCGTCACAATTTCCGGCAGTCAGCGACCCCCGACCTCCGTGCGCGTCACGTACCGTTAGATGCCGAGAATGAGATGGTCAATAGCGTCACGGTGATGAGGCGGAGGACAGTGACGGTCCCCGGGTCACCTGCTCGCTCCATCATAGCGGCGCTTCTGAAACAATGCAGAGCGGCGCTCGTCAACAGCGCGCTGAGTGAACACGCCGCTACGGCGGCGGTCGGCGCCGAGTGATAATCACGGGGACAATGGCTGGAGTGGTTGCCAGCGTGGGTTATTGCATAAGGGTCACTGTGCCACGTTTGGTGAGTTCGAAGAGGCTACTGGGTATAAAATGTGAATACGGTACCAGTGCATTGTGCAATGTGTATAGTGCAGCCCTTGATACTGTGATGTATAACGGTGAACTTTCCGGTCACAGTTTGTAAATATATAGCACATCTTAAATCGAGATAAAAGGGCAGTTCGTTAAGCTGCTCCTTGCGATCTAAACTCGTGCAATTGAAACAGTTATTTTTTATGGGCTGTTGTTTAATTTTGGCAATGGTTAGGCACGTTCAGCCGTGCTAATTGTCAAGCACATTGTTTTCGCATCCTTTGTAAACATAGACGTTTATGTATTTTCCACTGTAAAAAAAGATGTATTGACGGCTTGATTCAGACTCCTGCTGCCTCCTTACGCAACCGTCTCACGGCGCGCAGCCCATCTGCCTGATAGTCCGATGTTCGTATCGCCGTGCCTCTGCCGGGCACCATGGTAAGCGGCGGCTCTTAGCGCCGGGCCACCACCCATCTGGGTCGGTCGTGACACTCGGCCGCTCACGGTGTCGCCGCGTCACGCGTCACGCGTCACGGCACGTCGATGCCGCCGTGGTGCCGATCTTCACCCGTTCCCGGCGTGCGCTGTGAGGCGGGCGGCCGAGCGCGCTCGGCGCTGTTACGGGGATGGCTGGCCCGCAGAACATCGTCTGATGTGGATTTTAGTGATGGTGACCGGTGGGATGATGGTTAGGTGGTGATTGAATTCAACGGTATCGGTCGAATGAACTCGTTACGGGAAGCGATTATCGACCTGAAATCTCCGGCCGATTTTCTCACATTTGAAACGTCTATCAAAACAAAAGCACCGTAAGCAGACGGCGTGGTCCGCGGCAGCCATGTAATTCAGTTGCTAGCCTTCTCGAACCACTGACCTACAGCAGCATTTTCTCTGCTCAATTCCACGTCAGATCCTGTCCAGGCCCATAACAGGGAGCCTCTCGGCACCTCCGTTGCTCCTTGCGTCCGATTAGAGACACGGCCGGCGCGCGCTCGCTGCCGGCCTGCCGTGAGGGACGCCGCGGGGCTGCGGTCACGGACTGACACGCCGCTAGGAAGCGGACTTCACTAACGAGCCGTGTGTGGCGCCGCCGGCCGACTCGCGCCGCAGGAAGCCGAAGCGGCAGGTGCTGCCGGCGAGAGCTGTGGTCCTTGCAGACTCTTCCGCCCGTCCACCGTCCCTCCGTGCTGGCTATGGGGCCAGGGCATTCGCCAGGGGCTCAGCGATGATCCACACGTCCAGGCAGAGTTGGCTCAGCGGCTCTGCGGCTCAGTTTGCGGAAGGTTTCCACCGCCGCCGAGCAGCTGCCGTGGTTCAGTGCCCGGCTTGAATGCACCGGTAAAAAGTCGTCCGCCGAGTCAGTTCAACTCGCATTAGTGGGGTGACTTGGGGTTTGCATTAGTGACGTAAAGTTAGAGCCCACGGACCGGGTGGTGGGAGCAAATTTTGGTTCTACGGGATCGCTGGTTTATCGGGTCACGGGAAGGTATAGGGCTCAGCATATTGACAGTGGTTTGGCAAAGGGATGTCCTCGACTGATTTCGTCTTTTTCTGTTGCAAAGCGCACAACTCTCCGCCGCACTGAATTATGGCTGGTGCAATTATGATGGGATAAATTTGCAGTTTTCTTACCAGTCACGATAGAAATGCATTGTTCGCACTCTGATTTTAAAACCGGGTACCATTTCCCACGACTTGCATCGCCAGAATTCCCGTTTCTGATCCAGATATGCTTACATAACACAGCCAGTTTCGGGATTTGCTGGTAATTTAAGAAGGCCAGTCTTTCGCTTACACCTGCGTCCTGTATGCATTTATTGCAGGTAATATTTGTATCGACATGCCTACATGTGCACATCAAATTGGACACAGCAGCTTCGCTTGTAGTTCTCGATCAAAATTAGAGGTGTTTTTGAATGCGCAAATATGCCTAATTCATACAAACAACAGCATTGGCATTGAAAGCGCATGCCACTCGCACTGATTTTGAACTTAGGCACTCACATATCCAATTAAATTTAGGGATATTTTCCCGATCCCTATCAGAAACTAGACAGGATTCGTAGAGAAGCGTTTGCTCCATCATCATTAGCTCCGCCGAATCTCCTGTTCATCTCGGTTTGTTTTATGGCGCTTTAATCCATCTCAGTTTACCAAGATCTGCCAGTTACAGTCACACGGCCCGACCAGATCACACTGAACGCCCATCTCATTCCCTGCTATTATCTCTCGGACGGGACAGCTTCGGCTGCCGCCCGGCCGATAGGGCGGAGCTTGGTGCGACAGAGGTCCACTATTAGCGTGGGATATTCCCGGGCGATCGTCGCGCCGACCGTGCTCTCCAACTGTGCGCGACAAATCGGGAGGTGGAAAATCGCCCTGACCACTAGCCGGCGGTACAGAGGCATCATGAGTGAGAGGTGCGTGGCGAACTAGAACTAACAGGCAAAGGAAGACGATGAAATCGATCTCGTCTTCACTGGCTGGAAAATTGCATCAATAGGCCGCAACGGTACCGAGATTTCAGCTTTGTAATATGACTTTCGGGCTGAACGTCGATATATCGCAGCGATACATCGATGACAAACTTCCTTGATCTAACGCGGACTTTCTTAGAATCCCTGAGTCTCATTATAGGACTGCTTGCCTTGAAAGGTCTGCACCGCAACGCAACTCTCAATGCATGTCTCTTGTAAAGCCGTAACCATTTGTCGCCTGTTGAACTCCAAGGACCGGTATTGTCCCGTCACTCCCCACTCACCCTGCTCGGCCCTATAGAATCTGTCCCATGGTGTCATGCCTTCACTGGGCGCCTGTCGCATCGCGCTGGTATTGAGATGGGCCCGGCGGCGTCACCGTTAGCCGGCCCGTGGCCAATGGCTATCTTTCCGGTCTACCGCGCGTGCACCGGTGCCGACGCCAGCTGCAGCGCCGCCGACGGTGCTGACGCCTCCGCGCGCGGCCATCAGAAGCGGGTCGCACAGCCAACAGACGCTTCAGCAACACTAAGGCGTCCGACTTGTTGCCGGTAAACGTGGGTACAGAGCACGTGACATGGTCATTGTTTATCATGGTTCGATGTTTCCCAATGGTGAGATGGTGTGATGAAGGTAGTTTGTGGCCGGCAGCTGGGAAAATGCAAATTACTGTCGTCAGGAACAGGTTTGTGGTGTGAGTGGTTGTTAGTGGTAATCAAAATTGATTTGTCCCATTGACTGAAACTGGTGCCTGGTGACATTCAGAAATAACTGAATGTTTATCTGATAGGATGGCATTTGTTTAAAAAAAAGATGAATGCATTTAGCAAGGTTGAAGACCAAGATGCATTACCCCTAATTAGTTGAAACTGGCGATTCCTATGTTCCTTTGAGTGTAAGTAACCGCTTTTTGAAAACGGTTCATGAGACCTCACCTTTGCAATCATGCCATGTTCTTGTTGTACGCAAGAAGAAGGGATTGAAGCAGCTGTCACACGAATAAGCTGACTGAATGAAACCAGGAGGATATGCTCCCCACTCCATTTCACCAACCAAATTTGGGCAAAAAGTGACCCAGTGTCTGGCGGTGACCCGTATACAGCACCACAGGGTCGCCCGTGCCTGTCCTGCGGTGGCGTTGTTTGACCCAGCTCACGGCCGGCGTTGGCTGCAGACAGGCTGGGTCAGGGGTCAGACCGCCGGATTGACCACCGTCTTCCGGCTGGCGCGGCGGTCACGGCTCGGGTGCCGCTGTGGAGCGCCCTCCCCGGCGCCCGCCGCCGCCGCACACTGGTCGGAAACGCCTTCACGAGAGGCCACGGGCGATTCCGGAGTTTCGGATTATTTTTTATACAGATCGATTTGAAATTGATCAAATGATTATACTTAGGCCAAAAAACCTAATCCGGGTGACCAAAAATAGCTGTAATCAGCCCCCGAAGATGGGGTATCCCAGAACTCGGAAACTGACGCGGAGCAAGAGGTTTCTTGAGCCGGATATTCAGAGTCTTATTGCTGATAGACACCAAATTGAAATCCCACATATCATGCATCAAAATGTTCGTTATGAAGTTGCCGACTGGTCAGTGCAAAATTTTTGGTATACTTTTTCCCTATCTAAGATGTACTATAGCTTTTTTATGAAGGCTCTCCTACAGTGATTCTGGAATATAACTGCAAAGTTTAGGTAAGGAAACAACAGGTAGTCCCATCTAGTTCCACTCTGATTTTTTGTGAGATGAAGTAGGATTTAAATTTACACCAGGGCAACATAAAAGCTAACTGCGCATATTTGCGCAAAATTTGCAGGAGCCGCTCTTCCTACCCAACTACCGCCCGCCCCGCCCCAGTTTCGGCTCGGCCGCCGCGCCCGGCTTACGCTGACCTGTGTTGTGTGGCCTGCACGCATCCATGCGTAGTTGACTGGTCATTAAAAACAGATGCGCTTGAGTTTATGAATTTTGTGAAAAGCGCGTTTTATGTATGCAATTATGTATGTATTGACATCAAAAGCCTTCCACATATTGCGTGGCGATTACGGCCTGCATTTAGAGAGCCTTGCTATTGACAACCATCACTCGGCTGAAGAAAGTGGAAATTGAAACCTTCGTGAATATAAGACGCTGCAAATATAGGACACCTGTCACTGACGTCGGGTTACCTTGGGTTGTCTTTTTACATTAGATCACAATTCCGGTATTTAACCCTGACCGGACCGATTAGTTTTCTACATTGACCGGGGAGGGTTGGTACAACTCCCTCGCCGTTTCGCCTCTAATTGAGCTAGAGCCTCGCAGAAAAAAACAAGCTTGTGTGCCGTTATAAGACGCAAAAATTAGGTACTACCCGATTTTAAGGTCTTAGGTCAGCCAGTGACCTCTTAGGTCAGGTAAGTGCCACAAGGCACGGGCTCGGTTTTAGGTTAATTACTTTGCCTGAAAAATGGTCGCACTGCCGCGATTTTGGCATAATCGTGTTTGTCTAGCTCAGGCGCGTTGAATGCTATACTTGGTGTTCGGGTGAAGTCAACTTAACTCTCGCCAGCACAGGCCATTTTGCGTCCTTCGACGGCACAAGGGGGGGGGGGTACGACCCCCCTCGCGTTTGGCCCCTGATCGAGCTAGAGCCTCGCGGAAAAAACGAGCGTGTTGCCCGTCACGAGAGGAAGCCGATGATACCCAATTTTAAGGTCCTAGGTCATCGGGTGACCTTCCAGGTCAGGTCAATGACCCGAAAACCGGGAAAATCGGGACCTGTTAGAAAGTCGTAAATTGTGGCTGCTATGTGGTTTTCCGGGGTGCTGATCACGAATATCGTATTAGTTTTGATCAGAAGCATTTAGACCAGGTCGGGTCAGGTCAGGTCCGGTCAACCGGTAGGGGTTGTGACGGGTATTCGTAATACGTGTCAACCGCCTCTGACAGCTTCGTAACATGTTACGAAGGCGCCAAAACTACTTCGTAAATGTTCAAATGGTTGCTAAATTCGAATTCAGCTCCAAAAACTAGCCTAGAAACATGTAAAACTCGAAAAAGTGAACCGAGGTCATCCGAGGTCACCAAAGGTTAATGACCTGACCTGACCTTCAGGTGACCTTGACACCCATCCTAATGTATGGGAGCAACATCAAATCACATGTTTGAACGTTTGAAACCACGAAAAGCTTGCAAACGCGCGGCTAATGCGAGCCGACATACGCCGAATCGCGATTTCGGCCAAACATGGTCACGGAAAAGAGGTCACAGGTCAAAAGTCATTGCGGTCAGGGTCATGAAATTTTCAGGGTAGGTGTAAAATTGATCAATGCGAGGGTACTGAAAGTTTCGTCGCGATCGGCTGCTTTTTACGCGAGTTATTCGCGAAAAACCTTAGGGGGGGGGGTTGCATCAACCCCCCTTGTGCCGGCGAGGTTTAAGGTGTTAACCTCGGGTCAAGGTCAGGTCGGAGCCCCTCAGGTCACGAAAATGGTTGAAGGAGGTCATTATCGCATATCATTCGATTCGGCAGGTCTTCCTGAGTCCAATGGTGGCTTTCCCGACTCTAGCTCCATCTGATCAGGAGTTATTGACGAAAAACTTACATGGCCTTAGTGACGTCATAAATGACGTCACGCAAAGTCAACAATGCTAAAGTCAAGCACTGGACCTTGCAAGGAGTGCATGAAACCATTCCCGGTGCCCGAATAGCAGCTCCCAATTTCCCTTGTTGACTTAAAGTGGTGCTAGATCCTGTATTATACTCAATTATGACGTCATAACTTAACGGATTCACGTCATATATTTAGTGCTTGACATCCAAATGATAGCTTACATATGACAGAGAAGGTATGCACAGTTTCATGAAGTTTGCTTCACTAGTTGTGGAATAACAAGCAAAAAACTTTTGCGGAAAGGCCGCTGGCCTCTCGCTGGAGCGTTTCCGACCAGTGTGCGCCGCCCGCGGGTCACGCCTGTTGGCCGATCGTGAGAACGCGCCTCACGCTCACAGAGCAGTTGCTGCCCGCCAGGACTGGGAACTGGACTGTCTTTGACGTCCTCGGAAGTCCTAAGGCCTTGCGTTTTGACTCCATTGCCGTAGAGTGAACAGAAGTCAATGAAACGTAAAACGAAACAAGTGACTGTCATCTGAGTAAGAAGGCGGCCGTTTACAAAGTCCGTGGCTGTCTGCAGGGACCGCATCCCGGAAGAAGCCATGAAAGCACGCCATTCAGTCCATGTCAATGACTGAAATAATCCGTGAGCTGGCTGATTAGCGAATCAGTAACGTTTGCCAGGCCTCACTGAACACAGGCCGTCTGCCCATTCAGCCGCGGAAGGTCAAAGACACGGGCTCGTTCCAGCATAAAACAAGCGTGCGTTTTCCAATCGCGACCGCACGTATTTGCGCGATCGTGCACCACGAGTTTTTCGGTCCGGTGTCTGCGGCACGTCCGACTTCAGCCCATGGAACTGTTGAACCGACAAACAGCAGAGCTCGTCGAACTCTTAGCTTTTGGAGGTTAACGGCCGTTGCCCCAGACGAACTATATTACAATTCCAAGCCGTAAGAGGAGCTTTGCAACGAGAATTGAAGTCACTCGCTCAATCTAGTTGTACTAGGGAAACTGCAGCTGTGGTCAGCTGAGACTTGAAGCTATCGCTCTCGTTCTGTGACCATATGTACTTGCATCCGTGTGAGTGACAAGACAAGTCGTGTTCCGGTTTTGGGAATTAGACGTTGAGGCAGCGACCGTGACCTATCAGTTTTCGGCTGATCAAACATTGGTGCTACCGATCGGTGATAAGATCGGATCAGTCGATCATAGCGATGACGGGAAATGAGCAAATGTAGCTTTTCCGTCTTAACTGGTCCTGGGTTGTGAGTGCCGTAGGCACCCTGACAGCTGTTACCTTCGAAATGTGCCACAGCACATTTCGAATGTATCTTAGGAAGCAGCGATATATTTCCGGATACGATTTATGACTGTCGGCAAATTAAGGGCTGATGCCAAGATGATAATTGATAATTATGGTCCGTGCTTGGCAATAAATTCCGTGTTTTTCACGCGACGGGGCGTGCTGATTGATGGCAACTCTCTGCACTAGCTTATCGCTTTCGGGATTCACACGAGAATGCGATCTTTTTACTTTGTGGACACAGTCGTGAGGATATGTGGGTCAATGGCAGATGCCCCCCACCCCTCTCAATCGGGTACACAATTAGCTTTCAGGATGAGGGCATTGTGAGATTTTGCAATTCGTTGTTATAAACAAACAGTTTTTGCTTTTTTATGAGTATTCATATTGATGTTGATATTGATGTCAAGCGTAACCGTCTACATAGAAAGCTGCAAAGACCATGCCCGTAGGCACTAAGGACTGCCGACTGGACGTAAGGTATTACCGGTGAACTGAAAAGTGACGTCTTAGTTCAAATTTATCGGTAGCTTTTGAATATTTCATCAGGTTAATAATTCTAGAGTGGTTTAACTAAAAGTTGTTCCAAGCAGAGCTAGCCCGACAGTTTTGAATTCTGTCAACACGTAGGTAGGAAAATGTAAGGCACACAAAGGGCTCGAGCCTCGAAGTTGTTCGGTGTAGTAGATTTGCGAAGCCATCGGCAGGATGGCCTGAAGAAAAACGCCTATCATCGATAACGTATTACAGCTTCATCCGTTAAAGTCTGCACAAAGTCGCAATTAACCATCGCTGTCCCATTCATCATCGTAGCCAGTCGGAATGAAATTGGGGCAAACCCCAACTTTTTCATTCCTGCTTATGCTCTGCTGCAAACGTTCTTTTGAAAATCGTCTATTTGCGTTGGCATGCCCTGTCTGCCATGCTACCTCCGCGACGGTACCGTGACGCCGGCGCGGTGGGTTGAACCGATGTGACTTAGAGCAGCATCAGCCTCAATGACCATAGGACTCCTTCACTTCATTAGCTTGGGTAGCTAACGATTTGGACGACGCTATTCAGGTTTCATCAACACAATGACTGAACATCCCAAAACTTGTAGTGAGAACTGAGAGGTTTGGAGCGTGATTGCCAACGGGAGCGATTTTTATTCAGGCAACAAAGCTTGATGGGTTAATCGAATCGAGCCATGCATCAATTCATGACCCGCACGTGCCGAAACCCACCTGTGTCTCCTGTCCTTCGCGTCGGAAGTCAAGATGACCTCAGTCCTGTGAGACGAAGCACGGTGCTGATGCAGCAGCAGGGCAGCAGAAGTTTGGCCGCTCCGACTTGCGAGGCGCTGTGCTGGGTACGTCCGACCAAGACCAGCGTACCAGCACGGACAGACGGTGTGGCACACCAGCGGACCAGCGGTGGCAGTGGCGGAGGAGCGGCGCTGGGCAGCTCCTGCTGGGACGGCGGCAGCCACGCGAGTGTCTCTGCCGGGTCCGCCGAGCGCTGGGCCACCTTCAGCGGGCCGGAACGGGGCCGCTAGTCGGCCCGGCGCGGCGCCGACCGGACAGCCGGGCCGCGCCGCGGCGGCCGCCCGAGCTGTACCCGACAGGCCGGCACCATCAGTCACCAGAGCTGCGCGGTCATCTGCCGCGAGCCAGTCAGAGCTTCTGCCCATGTCCTAAGGACTTACGCCGTCGGCCCTAATGTCAGGTTACCAAACATCAGTCATTTCAATAGACGTTCTCTTTGCCATGAGCACCTACGTTCGTATCAGAGCATAGATCTGTTATGCCTCACCAGCAGACATAGCTCCTTGAAAGCTGTGTCTGCTCTATGTAAGCTCGTGTCGGTTTGCGGACTCTGCCACGCCAAGACCCTTTGCACTTCCTGCTTTTTCTATTGAAGACTATTTCCTCACATATCGATCGCAGCACGACCGAGCCCTCCAGTTTAAACGTTAGCATGCACCGTGAGACACTCCATCGGCCGTGATCTCAGCAGGACAAAGACCGTCATCTTCCTCTGCAATCAGTCAGCATTATCACCTCCACTTCTGTTCCTTCCAGTCCAGTGCCAACGACCTCGGTCAGGGAAGACGGCATCCGTTCCGGGCGTCACGTAGGTGACAGAGCGGCGCCAGCGGTGACGACGACAGGTGTCATCTGGTCTGCCATAGGGTCTGTCGCCCAGTCTGTCATAAGTCTGTCGGTCAGGTCTGTCATATTCCGGAATGGCTGGAGCTGGCGCCTGTCGCGTTATGGGATGGAGCGGGATATCACAGCCAGGTGCTCCTCTCTTCTCGATCGGTGATGGGAAGGGAAATTTTAGACACCATCATGAGGGATAGATGCACGTGGATGCATGCTAAGGAATGACAGTTCTGGGATAGGGTCCCGGTAATCTCAAGCCCATAGCCTCAGTCTAGCAATTATGAACTCATACTTTTATAACTTTGATGCGTCGTTAGATGACAAGTGTCCACATCTCGAAACCGTTTATGGTTTATTTACCATCTTTATGGACGATAGTGGTGTTTTCTGGTATTTAATTCGATATATGGACAATGGACATCAACGTGCGGGTCTGACCGCGGCCATGGCCGCAACAAAACTGAATGGACTGATTGTTTGAAATATGACACGATGTCAAATCACTGGGGGTATCTGGAGGAAGGAATTTGAGACAAATGCCCCTCCCTCAGGCAACGCCCGAAACTTATAACAATTAAACGTTGTTTTTTTAATAGTTAGAAAACTTAATTATGCTTATCAGGAAAGTTTGATTGAAACTGCACGACAGCGCACAAGGAATTCAGATTTGATAAGTTGTTTTTTTTTGTAAAAACTTTTTGGGAGGTATACAGGCCCCTCCCTCCCGCCAGGGCGGCGGATTCGATGGATTTTAGGGTGAATCCGACTCCGACTCCGACTCCGGCTTCAAAAATCGACACCGACTCCGACTCCGACTCCAACTCCGACTTTGAATCCGGACGGTTCTATTAAAATTCATATGATATTGAAGTACATAATGAAGATAATCTTATCTTGCCTGAAACGATCACTTGTATGTACGTTCCAAGGCTTTGCGTTGCAAATATGCATTAAAAATAACATGGAGAATTAACCCGCGCCCCGCTGGGGTCTGCCGAGCAACGTGCCCTGTTGGGGGGGGGGGGGGCATTTTACCTCCCCCATAAGATCTCGATAACCACGCAACATAGCGACAAGCGGCAACTATCTTGTGACCCAATTTCATTGGCCTAGGTCAAACCGATGACGTCACAGGTCATCGGTCAGGTCAGGTCAAATTTCGAATTTTCACCGTTTACAGGCATTTCAAGAAATATGTTGTAAAATCGAGTAAAATGCATGTCATTGAAAATAATCGATGGAGAATTGTTCGTCAAACACATATTTTGCTATTTGAGGTCACTGATGCCAGATCAGGTCACAGAGGGTCACAATATGAAAATATCATGTGATGCATCAGCATGTTTTATGGTCCATTTTACATGACAAATGCGATTATGTGGGTCAGGCAGTCTTTGGGGCCAGTATAGGTTATGTTCTGGTGAAGGTCAGGTCAAGGTCGGGTCAAATTAGGTCAAATTTGTAAGTTGATATTTTTGCATAAAATGGGTATGGATTCGATGCAGCTCATCACGGGGAATCTAATGGTGGTCTTTGTTTTACGCTACGTGGTCTAGCATTGCTAAAAAAATTGAGTTAAAAAAAATTGACGTCATCAATTTTGAGCAGTTTTTTCGCTATAACTAGGCCAAAAAGGAGGTATCGATCTAACGTTTGCTTTGTAGATAGAAGAGCGCAGGGACTATCATATATTTATTCCGGGTTTCCAAATTCGAAAAACTTTTGGGATTTTTTGCGTTTTTCTGATTTTTTTTGAATTTTTTTTAGGGTCAAAATCCCAAAATTTTGAAAATCCGAGATAGAGGTTTTGTAGCGACATTTTTTTCTCTACACAACCAAATAAAGAACTTTGAAATTGCTTGTTAACCCGCGCCCCAGTGGCGGTCTCAGCCAACTTCGCCCTAGTGAGGGGGGGCATATGTTACCACCCACCTCTAACTCAAAAACTAAGAGGGCTAGAAAGACGCGGTAAAAAGCAGTCGATAGCTCTCAATGCGTACGTTTGAAAGTATTTCAGTCATTTTTCACCTTAGAGCAATATTGGGGTCACCAGAGGTCATCAAAGGTCAAAATTTGCCAATTGTCATTATATTTTTTTCAGAAAACATGCCGCTATCTCAGGAACTATGGTAGCTAGAATAACGCAGGAAAGAGCAATCGATAGCTTTTGAACTCTTCTTTTGAAAAGGTCATTATCAATATTGACCTCAGGTCAACGGTTTGGCCTCCAGAGGGCAAAAAGTCCAAAAATAGCTGTTTTTACGAAAAGTGTTTTTCGACAATAACTTTCGACTACAAAAAGCCACGACATTTCTATTGCCAGAATCGTGTTCCTCTCGCCGAGACGCGTCGAATGAACTATAATTTGACCTTGAAAGGTCAAGTTGAAAATTTGACCTCAGGTCAAGGTCATGACCTCACCGGAAAAGGTCATGTTGCATATCAGTCGATGCGTCTCAACAAGGCAAACACAATGAGACTAACCCCAGCGTTCTATCTCTTTCCAATCGCGAGTTATTGGCAAAAAACTGTTTGTAGCCTCAAGTGACCTCGGATGACCTGTCTAGAGGCTATCAGCAAAAATGACACCTTGGTCATCACGAGTGGACTAAATCATTGTGATTCTGAAATATTTGGACTGTTCCGATGCGTACACACGGATCTAGAAGCATTTTCATTTTTCTCCATTGACTTGTAATGGAAAGGTTTCGCCACTGACCTGACCTTAGGTCACGGATATAAAAAATCCGAGATATACAAATTGTAGGCGCCCATAACAGCATGCAATCCACCAAGTTTGAAACCTTTCTGACAAACACTGCAGGCTGGACATGATTGCAAACTTTTTTAGGCTTGGTCAGCTAACTTGACCTGGTGACCTGACCTGACATGACTTGGGGTCAAAAATTTCACACATTGTCCAAAATCGATGTACCAAAAGCTACCCCAAGCGGCGCGGCGCTACGCGCCGCGGTTTTTTATTCACACGCAAAAAACGCGACAGGGTGGTAACATATGCCCCCCCCCCCCACTGTGGCGAAGGTTAACTGTGGCTTTTGTGAGGGTTTCAAGATTTCATGCTTTTTGGTCATTTTTGCTCGAACATGACCTCAGTTTGACCTCAATAACTCCTGACCTAAGGTGGCCTAAGACTTGAAATTCTGTGTGAAGGTGTCAAACTAATGCCGGGAAGGTACTGAAAATTTGGCGGCGCTGCCCGCCGCTGTTTTCTTGCTATTCAAGAAAACCACAGGGGGCCATATGCCCCCCCCAACGGGGCGAGGGTTAAAAAGCAGGTGCTGGGGGAATTAACCGTCTTGTGCTTCTTTCGCTGAAAACTTTCGTTCAAAACAGCAAAATGGCCTTTTTTTTCGGCAAAATCTAATTTCGAGCGCAGTATCAATTAGGTTCAGTGTATTTCTTATTAGCTATCAGCTAGGGTTGCACTTATTGCTTGTAGGTATACCTGCCTTGTCCAGTGGTGGCGGAACATCTTCAATTAAGGGGGGGGGGGGGGCACTGCCGACTTTTGATCCCATTCTTTCCATGTAACGTCCATAGGGTTAATGTAAAATGACAAAATCAAGGGGGGACGGTGCCCCGGTGCGCCCCCCGCTCCGCGGCCTTTGGCCTTGTCATATCATCAGACAAAATCATCGGTTAAAACATCGAAATAAGTTTAATATATGAAGATATTTGTTAACAAAGAGATTAGGTGCAGACTTTGTGAGAATTAGGTGCGTTCGCCAGATAGCATCGTCAATCAAACAGGTGCAGTGTATGACGTTGAGCCGTGCAGCATTAACTCCGACTCCGGAGTCGGAGTCGGTAAGATTTTGGCGACTCCGACTCCGATTCCGACTCCGGGCAGAACTGTCGGCTCCGACCGACTCCGACTCCGACTCCTACTCCGCCCGCAGCCCTCCCTCCAGCAGCGTCAAAGGTCGCCTCTCTGGAACCTCCAGTGCACCAAAGTTCCAAACGCTCACATCTAAAAATATAGATGTTCCATTTATGGAATTAATTAGAAAATAAAATAAAGCATGGCTTTGCGCGTGAAGAAACATCGCTCTGTTGATCAACCTGGCTGCCGTCTCGGTCAATCACCATCAGTAAACTCAGCAAGACCGGCCTCCCATCGCGATAATCACCGTTTTAGCCTGTTCAGCACAGCATTAGCTCATCTCGCTGCGACCTTGGTGAGAATGAGCACGGGAGACAGTTATTTACACACCAGTCTCCTACCGAGCCTGCCGCAGCGGTCGGGTGGGGAGCGCCACGCCGCCGCGCTGCCTGATGAATGAAGCCGGCGCCCGACTCCCGC